ATCCAGGTGAAAAACACATGGATGCTGTTATACAGATTTTAAGGTATATAAAAGTTGCTCCTGGAAAAGGAGTTATGTTCAAGAAGAACTCAAACTACAATGATGTGATGGTTTATACTGATGCAGATTGGGCAGGTGCTCTTGATGATAGAAGATCAACCTCTGGATACTTTACATTTATAGGAGGTAATCTTGTCACATGGAAAAGCAAGAAGCAGAAAGTTGTAGCTAGATCCATTGTAGAAGCTGAACTTAGAGGAATGGTTCTTGGACTTTGTGAAGGTTTGTGGCTCAGACTACTTCTCCAGGATTTAGGGTATGCACATACACGTCTCATTCAGTTGTATTGTGATAATAAAGTTGCGCGCGACATTGCTCACAACCCTGTCCAACATGATCGGATGAAGCATGTGGATGTTGATAGTTTTTTCATCAAGGAAAAACTTGATAAAAATATTTTAGAATTGCCAAATATTCGATCTGAAGATCAGTTGGCAGACATTCTTACCAAAGTTGTGACAAGTCAAATTTTTAAGAGATTATTGGACAAGTTAGGAATGTATGACATCCATTTACCAACTTGAGGAAGAGTGTTGGGATAAAGATATTTGATTAGCTAAATTATAGGTTTGTATAGCGGTACAAAATATTGTATAATCAAAATTTCTTATATTTAGTCTTGATTTATTAGAGTAAAATACTATAAGATCATAGTACATGTACAAAAATAATATGAATAAAAATTATAAAATGAATTCTATGTTTTTCATTTTATATATAAAAAAAAAAGTGAGGATTGTCGAATTAGACATTGTTGATTGTTCAGCCACTTCATATGTACACGTACGGAGGTATCAAGTTTCTCATAATAGATAGTCTAATGTTGAAGTTTTATATTGTCTTATATTTCCATGTTTAAACTATAGGATTTGCTTAGATACACATTAAAAAATGTTTTATCGTGAGAGTTTTATCATAAAAATGAACCACTAAAATGAAAATGTGAAGATCTTCAGCTGAATCTGATATTGTGGAGTAGAAGATGGGCCTGAGGCTTTGTTGTCATTCATTGTGAAGAACCGTGTTTGGTACAAACATATTCCTACCCACCAACGATAACGTTCATGAAGTTGACGTATTCCAGGCTTTTGAAATTTACTATTTACATGGGCCACGTGACATTTGATAGGCCACTTATATTTAACGCACTTATCAAATGTCAAAGAGAATTGCATCACCAAACTATCAACAACATTACCAAAGATTCAATCTTCTCACAATCACATGTTATTTTCTTCTGTTTCTTGTCGGGTTCTCAAAAACAAAAACACAAAAATTAACTATAATTTCACAAATCATCATTTTTGCAGTGTTCAAGATTTACTTTGTTAGGTTCAATTTAAGAAAACCGACCCCAACATAGTCCTACTCACCCAAATTCCTTCATGGGCCCAGAGCCCAATGTGAGGCTCAATATGTCACTTTGCACCACATGCTCACCCTTTCGGTATATGTTGCATTCGGTATTGCGTCGTACCATGGATTTTCTTTTTTTTTCTTTTTCTTATGGAGCTAAAACATTTTTTAAATAATTACTCATTTACAAATTTAGAAATTTTCAATTTACAAATTGATTGATAAAATATACAAAAATTTGGGTTGTAGAATTGTTTACTTGATTATGCAAGTCCTTTTACCGGTGTTCAACTTTGGGACCGAATCAGACTTTAATTCTCACATTATGCATGTTTATGCCTCAATTTTTTTAATTTTGGTTCTTCATTATTATTTTACAAAAATCAAATGTCTTAATTTTTTAATTAAAACAGAAAATAACGAATTTCTACTATCAATCCTCCTATAAAATTTAGATTTCTAACTATCTTTTAAAATATCGCATGCTCAAAACACGATTTAAATAGAATATATTAAAAAAATATATAACTTAAATTTAATCAAATATTTTTTTATTTTAACCGTTTAGACTATAATGATTTATATGAATTTAAATTAAGTTTAATAATTCATTTTATAAAATAATAATTATTTCTTAAATAAAAATATATTATTTTATTATATATATAATAAATTAATTTAATAAATAATTCATTTATTTAAAAAATAGATATATAAAAAAATATCTAACACCAAAATTTAATGATTAACATAAAACATTATTTGAAATCGATAATTTATTAAAAATAAATAAATGATGATAATAAATAATTAAATTTTTATTTTTATTTTAAGATTAAATTATTTTTTTATAATTTATATATTAATTTTTATATTTAAAATAAAATTAACTTTATTAATATAATTTAAAATTTATTTTTATTTTTATTTAAAATTTATTTTTAATTAATTATTTTAATATAAACATATTAATATTTTTAAACATTTTTAATTATGATAAAATTGATTCATTAATCCATTAGTTTAACATAAACATGATATTATGATTGATTTTAAAATATTGGTACATTGAACCAATAATTTTCTTTTGCCTAAACCGTGGTAATATGTCAAACTGAGCCGGACAACTTTATTTGACAATCTTACTAATTTTAAACTAAAATAATTTAATTAATTAATTGGTAAATTTTATTTATTTAATGTTAATTTGTTTATACTACGATATGCTAACTCTATAAAGTAATAATCAATGTCCATACATGTATCATAGTATTAGTATCCATATTTATGAGTGCAACACGGGATTTTCATAAATTTATAATACAATAAATATATCACATGTTATTCTTATAAATAATAAAAAAATAAAAAATAATTGATATATTTTACATTTGTAAAATTTGTATTAATAACAAATCAAAATATATTAGTGTAATAATTTGTAAAATTTATTATTTTTGGACCTAGTAAAAAAGAAATCAAGTCAGAAATATATACGATTTCAACTATGTTTACCATATTTTGAGGGGTCTATTCGGATGTTTGAATTTTTTTTGTAGATTACCTTAAAATTGTTTTTCCCGTTTTGAAAATAAAGTTATTTTTAACTCTTTGAAGTAATCTCAATAAGAATCAAAGTATTAAATATAATTTAAATAAAAATATATAAATAGCAAATTTTATATTCAGAATAATAATTAACATTGTTTTACTATTAGAAAAAAAATAAAAGAATTATTCAAGATAGAAAGTTAATTAAGACACCAACATAAACATAATACAAAACAAAGTCTTATTAGATAAATTGTTCAATCATATATCCAAATAAAAACTTTGACAATATAGTTTGGAGGGTTAATTGCTTGAAACATCACATTATTGCTTTCCTTCAATTGATGAAAATGACAAGATTTCTTCTTTCTTTTCCCGACTTTGATGGACTTTTTTTGATGTATTTCAGATCAAAAACTTGTACCTAATTTCTTTGGATTCTCTATAAAGCAACAAAGTTCTGAATTTACCCCTTCGAACATAACTAATAAAATCCACTCGCAAGTCCTACTGAAAAAATCAATATTACAAATTAATAGATCAATGTAAGGACAATATTAAAGGAACTACAACTTTAGGTTATATAAAGATGAAATGAGAATAGAAATCAAACCAAGTAATACTAATCTTTCCCACCATGCAATGCAGATCTCAAACTTCTCCAGAGCATTAGGTACACATGAGCTTTTAAAATAGTTGTTTAAAATGTAAAATTACCTACTAGTGAATTGAAATGGATTTGTTCCCAATCATGCTGTAAAAGTTTATGAAGTGAATCCAACCGTCGGTCAACATGAGCATATGTAGGACCATATTATAGGTAACAACATATGTGTTACCATTATGATCAACAAGACAAGACGTAATTGATTACCCAATTCAAATAAAAGATCAGAGAATAAAAGTAAGGTTTAATTAAACACATGAAGAAGAAGAAGAGTTTAAGAAGAAATACCACGTTCTGAAGATACATGTTGCTAAGAAATTCGATTGTGCTGTCCGAAATAATTTTAGTGTATGTTCCATTTGTTGTAGAAGAAAGTTATTTAAGAAAGTTAAATATGAGACTAAGTGAAAGCTGAAGATAAGATATATATACAAATGATCTGTAAGAAAGCAAATAAATATTTGAAAAATGAATCTAATATCTTTTTTTATTATTATAAAGTTTAATAAATATTTCGTTGAGAATCATGAACGAGTGCAGCTAACCTTTTCTCACTCTCTTACATTCCCATTTCCCTCAAATAATTTTTTCTCATACCCATTTGTCCATGTTCCATAAAAGTATTATCCTTTTGTGGTCAAACTTGTCATTGGTGCATACATAACACCAATTTAATTCATTCTTTTAAGTTAATCATAATTTTAGTTACTAGAAATGCATCAAATTTTAACCATTTTAATATGATAAAATTATTTTTAATATATTAAATATTCTTAAGATTATTTTTTAACTGATCAATATTTAAAATAATCACTTAATTTCACTTTTGAAATTTTAATTGGTGAAATCACTATTTTTAATCATATGATTTTTTAAAACATTATAATGTCATTTCGTTTCCATTGATGAAACTATTGTTTTATCATTTTTTATAACATTTTTATTAAATATTCAAATATTATTTTGTTTCAATGAAACCACTATTTTAGTGTCAATGACATGTGTTATAACTTTTGATTTCAATCAATTAATAAAATATGAATTTCAATTTTAAAAATATTTTTAATCTCGATAACATTTTTTGTTATTCTCAATTTTAATGAGATTCTTAAAAATATAGTTCTCCATTTCAAAAGTATTTTTAGTCACAATGTCTTTTCTTTCAATCAATTGATATAAAGTGACTCTCAATTTTAAAGTTGCTTTTAGTACCTGTGAAATCTGAGATGTGTCCCTGTATTCACATAATTAGATGACAGATTGGGAAATGTAGTTGCTCCGAAAAAATGCAAAATCAAACATTGACATCGTAATAGAGACTAAAAGTGTAACTAAACAAAAAAATTAATTAATCATAGTTGGATGCTTAGTATCTAACTGATTTAGCAACCTCAAAAAAATGTGCAACATTCTCCTCAGGCGTACCTACTTTAATGCCATGACCAAGATTCAAGATATGTTTGCCTCTACCTGCTTTTCTCACAGTATCATTGATCCGATCAGTGATGAACTCTTTCGAACCAAAAAGAACACCAGGGTCCACATTTCCCTGGACAGCTATATTTGGTCCCAGTCGTCTCCTACCATCAGCCATATCAACAGTCCAATCCAAGCTAACCACATCCACCCCTGTCAAAGCTAGTCTTTCAAGCAAGCCCCCAGATCCACTAGCATAGAGGATCAAAGGGAGATTTGGATGGCTTTTCTTCACAGTATCAATAATCTGCTTCAAGTAAGGCAAACTGAATTCTTCAAAATCCACTGGACTAAGTTCTGTTGCCCATGAATCAAAGATCTGAACAGCTTGAGCTCCATTGTCAGCTTGGTATTGAATGTATCTTGCCATTGACGTCGTAAACTTTTGTAGTAATGAGTGCAGGATCTGTGGAGAAATCAGAGTGTTATAGTGATTGAGTGAAATGAGTAAAAGAAATGGTGCAAATTTGATTATCAAACGATTTCCTTCTTGGACAAGATTAAGAATTGATTTTCAACCGTAAAGGAAAAAAAAAATCATTTTGAGAAAGCACAGAAACAACATACAATAGAAGAAAAGAAAAACCTAAACAATTATGGTAACATGAACCGTGCTAACTTCTTTCCAGTTAAACCAGAACTAATTTTCTACCTGAATGAACAACTAAAGGATTTGTTGACTAACCGGACAGATCAGTATATATCAGGTTTCAAAATGCCCAAAAAAAAAAAACTGATTGAAAACATAAGAATGTGAGTTGCCATAGGCAACAAGTTTAGTGAGCTTGAATAAGGGAAGATGGTTGAAGATTACCTTGGATTCAGAGAAAGCCAATCTTTTTATTTTAGAGAAGTTTTTAGATGAACCACCTTCAACCACATATGATGCCAGCGTGAAAGGAGCCCCAACAAAACCAAGAACTGCAGCTTTATTACTCACCTGCAATCAATACGTCTTCATTCAATAATATAGAAAACCATAGAGACATAATACATCAAATTGGCCACAGAAATAATGACAAAGAAACAATAGCAAGATATTTGGGGTCTCCACGAACACCATTATTTAGAAGTATATGAAACAACTTTACAATACAATGGGAAATGAAGATTAACTCGGTATATTAATAGCCACCGGGTAGGAAGTTCAATAAAATATATACTTCTGTAAGGTTTCAAGATTATATGTTCCCCCAAGTACCACGTGGCATATGCCTAATCATCTTTTCTCCATCATTCTATGTTATTACAGCCCCCCACCAATGATTTACAACCAATGAACATTCTTAAAATATGGACAATTACTTTTAACTCAAATAAATATACAAAATTTCCTGTCGTATGGCGTTGGACAACATACATGCTTCAGGTATAAAAAGGAAGTCGGCTGCAAAATGAACAAAAGCAGAAATGCAACGGAACATAGGACCAGTCAGACCTCTTTCCTCAAAATTGTCAGTGCTTCACCAACATATGGAACTGATTCTTCAGGAACAAACTCTCTCACTTCATCGACCTGGGCATCTGTGTGAATAGGATCAAATATGACAGGACCCTTACCCTTCACAATATCAAAGGGTATATTCATTCCAGAAAGTGGGGTAAGAATATCTGAGAATAAAATCACCTGTCACAGAGTCAGTGCCAAGGAAATTATTAATGGCAATAAAATCAGAATCATAACATAAATAATGTGATAAATATTAATGAGTGCCAGAGTGTTATCGTACTCCATCAGGCTTGAAAACATGCCATGGTTGCAGGGAAATTTCCACCACAAGATCCACATTTTCAGATCTCTCACGGAATGAAGGATATTTCTCACAGATGGTTTGGTAACTCTGGTTAATAAAAGTTCACGAATTAGATCTATTTTCCGTAAAGAAGACACACTCACCAAACTCATAATTCATACTATAAAGAACAAGAACCCAACCAATTTTAGATTCGGAAGCATTCAAAACATGATCGTTTTTGGACTTAAATTTACAGTTGAAACATATAACCCTGGATCATAAACAATTCAAACAAAATCTTGGGCTAAATTCATCATAAAAAACTCCAGAATTTTTTTCTGAAATGGAGATAGTTTTGGAAAATGTAAACATTCCGCTAGCCATGTTTAGTTTCAGAGATGGTGTCTAACTAAAAGTGACAGAATTAACAAAACTACATCTTTTTACACCGATGTCCTGTTTGGATAAACTTCTCCATAAGTACTTATAGAAGAAAAAAAAAAGGTGAATAAGCTTCTCTCATAAGTTAAAATTAGTTTAAACAAAAGTTAACTCTCAAAGTCAACACAATCCCACTCTGCATATGCGAAACAAAGTCAACTCTGATCGTTCGTTCTGGTTAAGAGAGCAACTGGTTCAGACAAGCAACTTCAAGACAATTTAAAAATATACAAAAATTTATGACACCAAATACCAAACTAGGCTGCGCTAAACCTTCAGTTTAGTTTGACTTCTACAACTATAAATCCCAAACACTGAAGATTATTACGTAAACCATAAATCACAAATAGCTGCATGAACCTGCCTTCATGTACCTCCCTGCTTGCCTCATAAGCCAAACCGGCGGTCTTTCAACTTCTACCCCACGAACTGCATTAAGCAAAAGCGGCTCAGCAGCAGCCGTGAACTTTGGTTCAGTGACGGTTCCTGCACAAGATTTCCAGAACTCAGACATCATTTAAAAAAAAATCATTAATTAGAGAACAAAATTGAAGAATGGGTTTCGAGCTTTGACCAGAAACGACGACTACAACAACACAATGAATTGAAAAATAATAACGACAATAAAAGGTTCATGGCAAATGGAAGTAATGTCAACTACGAGTTCAGGGCTATTCAATTATAACAAAAAATAAAAAAAACGGTAGTGTTTAATTTGGGGGGCAAAAGTCAAAAGGTCGACGATGTGGTATCTGGGTCTTGGTGGAGGGCTGAAAATGACGAGAAGAACACTGAAATTGTACAATAAGTGCCCTGAAAATAAAAACCCAAATAAGTGGATGGTAAAAAAAATAATACCTTGGAGGGTGCAGGAAATTGGGGTGGTTGATTTGGAGGAGAAAACGAAAGTTGGTTTTCTGGGTATGAAAGAGGTGAAGGCGGTGTTGACGCACAACATGTTTGAATTGAAATGAAGAGTGAAGCTAAGTCTGTAAGAGAATGAGAAATGAAGTTTAAAGGATGAGATTTGGGTACGGAGAAGAAAAGAAAGATAAGGAAAGGAAAGAGATGAGCAAAAGAGCGTTGATTCACCAATTGCAATCCCCAATTTGTTGCGCTTTAGCCATGTCACCAACTTCTCCGTGGAATTTTCTGACACTGCACACGCTCCGCTATCACATTCTTTGCAATAAAATGTTATTAAGTACGTCTACGATTAGTAAATTCTATTTTTGTTTTCCTTTAATTTATAATGTGGCATTTGTTTTAGAAAAATTATAATTGAGTTTAATGATTAATTTGCATCTTATTATTTTTTGTATACTTTAATTAATTAGTTCAATCCTTAAGTTTATAATTTAATTGGCTAAAAAATGTATATAAAGTTAAGTGTTAAACTAACATTACAGATTTTGTAAATTCTGAAAATTTAAATTACGAAATAATAAAGAAACATAATTACACATCATTAGGGGAAAATATAAAATAAAATATGCTAACTAATGTTCAATGAATCAATAAATAGATTTTTCTTTTATTAAAGTTTAAAACTTTTGAGTTGGAGTTGAATTGAAAATCACATGAGTGCATTTAAAAAAAAATCATTTTTTTCTTAATAAATATTCTAACTAATTTTTAGACTCAAATGTTAGTAAATATACAATTTAACATTGCATTAAATACTCGAAAGAAAGGTTTACTACCTAGTAAAATTATCTTGAAAAGGTTGAATTATGGATATCCATGATTCGGCATACAAAATAAATTCGAAAGTCTAAAAGTAAAATGGCTATTGAAGCCAAAGCAAAGTTTGAAAAGTTTTATAAGATGGAAGCTTTAGTTTGGAAAAGAAAAAATGTTGATTATTTTACACTGGGTAGAAAAACTCTGGTTGGTCGGTTTAAGTGAAAGTAGTAGAAGTTCGCTCCATAACAATGTTCCTAATAATCTTTTTCCAACTATATTGGGCTTTGTTACTATATAGATTTTTAAACGAGGAATTAATGCCTCTTATCCAAATTATATTAATTGTGTCTTAATTTCTTTTATGTTGAATCCCCTCTTAGTCTTATGCTGAGGGGTGTTGTACCTATTTCTTGATTCCAAAGATAGTAGGGAACATTGTGCACATATCACGAGATCGTCCACTACCAGTGATTTTCACACCAAAATTTAGGGCCAATAAGTGAAAACGGAAAATAAATAGAAATAAACATATGGGTGAAATCAGATCGAACTGATTGCAATTTTATTAGATATACAAAAAATTACGAGCGCATAACTATTTAATTACAAGGAAATATATAGCAAAGGGAGAAAATTGGGAAGGAAAATGTATTAAAAGATAGTGTCTATTGTAAGTTTCCTTTTGGAAGGAGTTTTCTCTATGATCTGCTTCTGCAGGTCCATAAATGAAGAACCCTTGTTAGCAAATAGTCTTCGCAAGTTGATCACAGAAAGTTCACTAAAATTAGCAACTGTAAGGTCAGCCTGCCCCAAATCATACCTGCAGGTTTCAACATCAATCAGTTTCTAAATTTCAAATGAATAATCTCATCAGAAAATTTAAAGTACTGAAGAGTATAACTGAATGGAAATTACTCTTTCATTTCAATGGGGAAGGGAAGTACGATGTATTAATGTCATCCCTCACAAGCTGACTCAAAATCAAATACCAAGTTGAAATTCTACTGATTTCCATGTACTTGTGTACATGAGAAATGGTGTTTGCACATGAAAATCACCAAATTGGAAATGTGCATTTCTTAAACGCTTATGAAATCTTATTTTCGTACCAACATCTTATATTATTATACATAAATATGAATTACTCACGCAGGATGAGCTCCAATCAATGCTACAGCCATCATTGTACAATTGTGTGCCGCAGTTACTCCTCTAGGATCATCTTCAAAAACCACACACTTGGAAGGTTTACGATCCAACTGCAAGGCATATATACAGCCAAACAGGTCAAAAGCTAGCATAATATTGTAAAAGACGAATGAGAAAATTTTATGGAAGACTAGCAGGATAATTAGCGAGGGGAACTTAGACAACGCTAAATATAATATCAATGCCAGATCTAAACATTCGCCTATTTATTTGCACTTTTGACCTTTGGGATTTATTGTGAACACTGTCTGGGGCCATACAATTAGCAAAATTAATTATTCCTTTCAGGATCTTAATGTAAAAAAGGAATACAGTAGACAAGATATCACCCCACACAAATTAAAGCAGAGACGCACTGAACATCTCAACTTTTTCAAACTACAACACTCAGCCTATACATTTTTAAAGAAAATCATTGATTCTCCTATCTTTGCATCCTTACCATCTGTAACATCCCTCAACTTCAAAATACAGAAGAAAAAAAATAACTCAACTTTACATGTCTGTCCATGTTTTGCCATAAATAGTAGATTACTATAATAACTTCACAAATTGATGCAGTATTTACAATTTAGTAGAGATGGAGAAGGAACTTGCCTGAGTGTAATTATACATGTTGTAAACATAAGTGTTAAAAAACCATAATATATATAGTAATAGTGATAGTTACAAGCCAGAATCATTCATCAAAATTGAATCAGATGGATGGAACTGTACCTTGACAGCAGCAGAAAGAAATCTATGAGCTATTGATTCCATTCCATCCTCTTCTGTCACAATTGCCTGCAAATCAAAGGAGGCAGTCAGCAAGTGGCGAACTTTAGATCATGAAGTTATTCATAAATTTATATACTATATCTAATCCATAAAATAAGTTCAAGCCTAGCCCCAAATGGCAAAGTTATCAAATAGGGATTACCCACAAAAAAGAAGGGGAGAGTCATTTCGTATCCCTAAGTCCCTTAAAGAGAAATGTTAGCACAACACTATGATCAGGGGTAAGAGTCACGTAAGTTCCACTAAGTGTAAGTGAGAACTAGTAAATATGGATTGCGATCAACATGGATTTCACCCAATAATATTGTCTTAATAGCATTCGTCCTCCCTGTAACGGATCTAGACCATGATTGCAGCAAAAACAAACTGTTTTCTTAATTAAAGCATTTGAACAGTACTTTTCAAAATATATTGACCATGACTCAAACTGCAGTCGAAGCCAGCACCCCAATTAAACAAGCTACATGGTATTTATAATCGGCAATGATAGCCTGCGAGACAGACCTAGCAGTCTTTCAGTATAACCCAATTCAACCAAAAGTTATGTCTACCACTATGCTTCTTTTCTATGCCATAATTAAAGAAACAAGGCAAGAATTGATTTCTTGGAAATTCTTCGTAAAACCAACCTGGAAATACTTGCTGAGTCCCATTCGCTCCAAAGCCTCTAACATATTTCTTCTATCAAGACTTGAAACCACAGCACATGGGATGCGAGCTGTATAAACTGCTTCCAACCAGTCTTTGAGGCCATCTAATGGTTTTGCAAGCTAAACAAAGTTACAAAGCAAAGTCAGGTTTTATCACTCTGAACCCTCAACAATAGCCATTAGAATAAATCATGGCAACTTACTCTGAGAAGATTATCATAATATATCTGAGAAAACCTCAACTTTAGCCTGTCTAACTCATTTTCTGTCTTATCTGATAGAAAAAACTTCAAAAAAAGAGAGGACAATCAGCAAAGAAAAATGTTCAAAGCAATGTTCTATATTTTTAATGATGATGCTATCTTTAAAGAAAGCATGTCTTCATAATCCAAAGCCTGCGTAAAACCAACAAACCAGAAGAAAAAAGTAAACTAACCTTATGCAACACATAATCGGCACCTGTATAAAACAGTAACTTGTGCATATCACCTTCTTCCGGAATAACCTTTCCTGCATAAAATAATCATAGTTATCAATATTGGATGTAGCATGTAGCAGTCAATCCAAAAATGCTATGGTGGGGTAGTCCATAGTAGGATGACTGTTATTATGAATATTTTAGGATTGATTACTCATTTGGCCCCTATACCAGTATAACCTTTACAGTTTTAGTTCCTACACGTCCACTTTTTAACTTTGTAGTCCACCATGTATTTTTCCAATCTATTTTAGTCCTGATAATTTTGAAGTTTAGGGACTAAAACAAAAAGAAAAGACTAAGTGAATAATTAAATCTGATTTTATACAGCTTAAATAATTTATACTATAAGACTGAGAAAATACTCAAAATTAATGACATTCATAATTAACAATAAAAGTCACAGGTCTAAAGCAAAACATACAAGTAACAGCAAAAATAAGTCAAAGAAACAAACAAATTCAGAAGACATTCATATTTCAAATACAAGACTCTTAAAAATTCAATAAAAAGTGAAGATGGGTATTGTACAAAGAAAACAACAGAGAAGGTTGAAATCAGATCTCCAAACAGACAAAAATGGATAGTGAGCATCACTGGAGATACCAGCGTTTTTAATTGTGCTAAGTCGGTGTGGACCTTGCCCGCTATAAGGACTGCTGTAACAGAGCAGTTTCACATAATGGCTGCAGCAAGCTGAATAGCAGCTATAGAAGGTGCTATTTGGAACTACGTGTTGCTTCCAAAAAAACCTCTCTGAACAGAGACATTAGGCCTTTTTCGGAGGGCTATTTTTGAGGTTTTAATTTCCAAAGCTGAAATCTATAGATGTAATAACAATAATAAAAAAGACTTGGATATAAAGTATGACGATTGATAATTCCTACCTAGGAAACTTGGTATTTGTCTTTTGTTGGTATTTACTAGCATTTTTTAAGACACCCCTGACCTTTTATTATTAAAAATGAATGTTATTAATTTTGAGTAACTTTTATCATTTCTTAGAATATATCTCTCCATATATATAGCATACGTTAAATAAAGTATAAAAAATTTCAAAATAGCGACTATCCTGTTATACACTATCTTGCTATAGCATTTTTGAGGTTGGATGTTATGCGCTGCTATTTGGGATTTAAAACATTGGGAAATAGTGTTGAAGAGTAGCAAATAAGTCAAGGAAACTGATAGGACCTGGTATTATTGAATCGAAAAGGTAACAGCAACAGAACAGAAAAATACTAAAACCAGAAAATATAAATCAGAGAATGTTCTCTGCCCTATGACAACATTCACCCCACAATACCCTTAATTCCTTCTCCCCCCTATCTTCCTCCACTCCCCCGCTCTTTATTCTCTTTTTCTCCCTACGTATTCCCGCATCTCCTTTCCCCCAACCCTCCTCTAACACGTATGCAGTTAGTTGCCTCCACTCACAACAAACTCATTCCCACTAGTGACCTTTTTGCCCCTTCTGCGGTAGTAGTATTTCCAAGGCCTTTGTTGTTGAGGCCCATCAATACCCTCCCCAACAAGCGACACCTTGCCCTCAAGGTGGAATCGGGGAAAACAGTTTGAATCACCTCATAATCTTCCCAGGAACTGTCTTCTGTGGGTAACTCAGTCCATTTGATCAGCACTTGCGACTTTCCATTCAACAATTTCGTTGTGGCCAACACTTTCTCAGGCTCAACCATCAATTCAAGCTCATTTGAGAGGAACTTGGGCAGTTCTTGACTCAACTGGCAGGAGGGTAAAGCCTTCTTTAACTGTGAAACATGGAACACAGGGTGTAACCGTGAGCTGTCTGGGAGTTGTAACTTGTATGCCACTTCCCCAATTCTGGCCAAGATCTTGAATGGCCCATAAAATCTGGGACTGAGTTTTTCATTAATGCGTGTAGCTAATGACCGCAATTTATAAGGTTGAGCTTTCAGGTACACCATGTCTCCTACCCGAAATTCCACCTCACGCCTACCCATATCCGCTTGTTCTTTCATTCTCCCTTGTGCCTTAAGCAGGTTTTGCTTTAACTCAGCCAAGATGCTATCACGAAGCATCAAATCTTGGTCAACTTCCGCTATGATAGTGTTGTCTCGTGGATATGGGATAATCATAGGAGGATCTCGGGCATAAAGAGCCTTAAAAGGACTCATTTTTATAGTGGCATTGTAAGAGGAATTAAACCAGAATTCTCCCCCATGGTAACCATTTCACCCATTGTCGTGGGTGATCAGAAACAAAGCATCTCAAATATGCTTCAATGGTTTGATTGGTCACCTTCGTCTGGCCATCGGTTTGAGGGTGGTAGGCGGAACTAAATTTGAGTGAAGTGCCCGACAACCTAAAGAGCTCCTGCCAAAATGTACTTAAGAACACACGATCCCTATCCGAGACTATGGATTTGGGAAACCCATGCAATCTGACAATTTCTTTCACAAAAATAGAAGCCACGTCCTTGGCTATATATGGGTGCAATAAGGGAATAAAGTGAGCATACTTACTCAACCTATCTACAATCACCATGATAGTATCTGCATTCTTTGCTTTGGGCAGCCCACCAATAAAGTCCATAGAAATGTCTTCCTACACATGCTTTAGAATGGGGAGTGGTTGTAATAGGCCTGCAGGTTTAAGGTTTTGAACCTTACTCTGTTGATATACCTGGCAAGCAGCCCCAACCCTTGCTACATCCTGTTTCATTTCATTCTAATGAAAGGCCATAGCCAAACGTTTGTAGGTTCGGGTGACACCTGAATGCCCTCCCCATGGGGAAGAGTGAAATTCAGACAACAGAAGTGGGACTCTAGTTGATCCCTTGGGCAAAACAAGCCTCCCATTGTACCATAGACACCCTTTAGAAAGTGAATATTGAGAATGTGACTGTGGATCCCTCACCAGTTCTTGCATAATCACCCGAAGCTGCTTATCAGCCATAACCTCCTCTGATATTTCCACCAAATCAGCATTGGTGACCATTGAAATTGCACCATAGTCCATTACACGTAATAATGCATCCGCTGCCTTATTTTCTAGGCCCGGCTTGTATTGAATTTCGAAGTCATATCCCATAAGCTTGGTCACCCATTTAAGTTGCTCCCCAACCAAAACTCTTTGTTCTAGGAGGAATTTCAAACTTTGATGGTCGTCGGTCCTGATAATAAAATGATTGTCCAACAAATATTGTCACCATTTTTGGACAGCAAACACAATGGCCATAAGCTCACGTTCATACACTGACTTCACCTTGTTTCTGTTTGACAAAGATTGACTAATAAAAACCAAAGGTCTACCCTGCTGCATAAGAACTGCACCCACCCCATTGCCTGAAACATTTGTTTCCACCACAAACGGAATTTCAAAGTTTGGCATGGCCAAAGTTGGTAGACCAGTAACAACAGATTTCAGCATCTCAAAAGCTGCTTGTGCCTCATCCGACCAATGAAAATTGTTCTTCTTTAGAGTTGTGTCAGGGGCTTAGCAATTATCCCGTAATTGCGTACAAAGCGACAGTAGTAATCAGTGAGTCCCAAGAATCCACGTAGACTTTTAATATCTTTAGGAATTGGCCACATTGTCATGACAACAATTTTAGTTGGGTCAGCTGATATGATATGCCCGCTGCGGAAATGATATGCCCAAGGTATTCCAGGTGGCTTTCACCAAAACTACACTTTTTTTCGTTGATGCATAGTTCGTGTTGCTGTAACAACTCAAAAACCACCTTCAAATGGCCACTATGTGAAGGAAAATCTTTGTTGTACACGAGAATATCATAAAAGAAAACCAAGACAAACCTCCTCAAATGTGGTCGAAATATGTCGTTCACGAGAGTTTGGAATGTTGAAGGAGCGTTTTTGAGGCAAAATGGCATTATGAGGTATTCGTAATGCCCCTCGTGTGTTCGGAATGTTGTTTAATAAATATCCTCTTCTCGCATGCGTATCTGAGGGTAGCCATACTTGAGATCCAACTTAGAAAAAATGGTAGCCCCTCCTAGCTCATCCAACAATTCCTCGATAACTGGGATTGGAAACTTATTCGGAATGGTTACGTTATTCAAAGCCCTATAATCCACAAAAATGCCAGCTTCCATCTTTTTTCTTAACCAAAATTAATGGACTAGAATAAGGGCTTGTGCTTGGTCGAATCAAACCTGAAGCCAACATATCTTGAACAAATTTCTTAATCTCTTCCTTATGGCTATGAGGATGCCTATAGGGACGAATGTTGGGAATCTGTGCTCCTTCCTTTAATACAATAGCATGGTCACACTCCCTCTTGGGCGGTAAATTGGAACTCTCCTTGAACAGATGCTTGAATTTCGATAATAATTCTTGCACGTTTTCAGGAGCCTCTTCAATAAAGTTAAAGGATGTCTCCACATTAATTACATTCATCATTCCCAACTTAACATAAAAAGCTGATGCTTCATTTCGTAACTCCTTTCTCGAAGTCTTTAAGGATGCCACCGTTCTAGATAATGTTGTATTTCCCTTAATTTCAATGACTCGACCATCTTGTTGCACCTCTATTAAATATTGCCGCAAATCCGCCGAGAACTTTCCCAAACTTTTTAACCATTCAAATCCCAAAATTACATCCACCCTTACCAATTCAAATAAAAAGAAATCTTGTACTATCTTCAAATTGGGCAGCTGCAACTCCACCCCTCTACAAACACCTTGGCCTTCCTCCTTCCCTTGATTATCCCGCTCTTCTTCCTCCACCTCACCTAATAGAATCACATGAAGTTGTCTGTTACGACACATGTGACCCCGAATGTAAGGTTCATCACATCTAAAACACAAACTCCTTCATCTCCTATCATTCTCTTCCTCCTCTGTTAATTTTTTTAAGCTTCGTCCTCTTCGATTTGAACTCACTGCACTTCCTTCTCCCGAACTTGCTCCAATCTGGTTGGGCTCTCCTTGATTCTCACTTGAGTGCGAATAAGTGGGTGACTTAGGAGTTAAAGTCTGATTCAAAGGACCCCTTGAGAAGTCTTGGGCCTCAACTTTTCTTCCGGTCCAAACTGTTTTTTGTGTCACAGGCCCACTAACTCGAGTTATCGGCCCAAATGTGCGACCCAATAAACGATTCCTTTCTTCCACCTTTTGTGTCATCTCCATCAATGTGGGAAGATCCCCCAAGCTAATTAACCTTACCTCCGCCTTCACCTCATCTTTCAAGCCATTCATGAAAGCTCCCTTCATGAATTCCTCATCCGCGAATCGGAGCGGAGCTGAAAGAAGTTTGAACTGCTCACGATATTTCGTGACTGACTCCTTTTGTCTTAGACCCATCAAAGCTTCGTATGGGTTTTTTGTGGTTGTTGATTGGAACCTCCCTAAAATTGCTTTTTGAAAAACCGGCCATGTCATCATCGGAACTCGCGGTTCCCACCATTGAAACCAATTCAATGCACGTCCTTCTAAACACACCACTGTCGTATCCACCCTCTTTGTCGCAGGAATGCTATTGACTTCGAAATATTGTTCCACCCTATACACACAGCCATGGGGGTCATCCCCCGCGAAATAAGGAACCTCAACCCGTTTTACCCGTTCTACTCTCCTCTCCTCCTCACGGTCATTGGTACCAGCACGATTGTCATTATGATTCGTGCCCATCTCCACTCTTAAGTCCCGCACCACTGCTTTCATTCGTTCCGTCATGGCCCTCGTCATCTCTTCCATTTGTTTTCGAAAGTTTTCCTGGATCAAAGCTTGCATCCCTTCCAACCTGCGTTCCATATTTTCCATGCGATTCTCCATTCGAGTCAACACCATCCAGAGGCTCCCAAGATCGGGAGCTCTGATACCAACTTGATAGGACCTGGTATTATTGAATCGAAAAGGTAACAGCAGCGAAACAAAAAAATACTGAAACCAAAAAATATAAATCAGAGAATGTTCTCTGCCCTGTGACAACAATCACCCCACAATACCCTTAATTCCTTCTCCCCCCTATCCTCCTCCACTCCCCCGCTCTTTATTCTCTTTTTCTCCCTACGTATTCCCCCTACGTATTCCCCCTACATATTCCCGCATCTCCTTTCCCCCAACCCTCCTCTAACATGTGTGCAGTTAGTTACCTCCACTCACAACAAACTCATTCCCACTAGTGACCTTTTTTCCCCTTCTGCGGTAGTAGTATTTCCAAGGCCTTTGTTGTTGAGGCCCATCAGAAACAAACAAAATGCTGAAGACTAAATGATATTTCAAATACAAAGCATCTTAAATATTTAATAAAAAGTGAAGATGGATATTGTACAAAGAAACAACAGAGAAGGTTGAGGTACAAAGCTCCGAACAGAGAAAACAATGAATACTGAGCATTGCTAGCGACACTGTTGTAGGAAGTGTGGGGAATTTTTTGCACAAAAGAGTTAAAGGTGGGGAATGTTGGTTTCACTGTGCGTGTCACAGAAGCATGGAGGCTAGAGCTAATTACTGATTTATTAAATGCTTAAAAAGGGGTATCAACTTGAACAACCCCCACCACCCCAAATGACATTTTGGGGTAATAAAACGAGTTTTAAAGTCTGACTCTAGTATCATTGTTGCAACATGACAACAACCACCATTTCTTCAGAGAAAGTTCAATTTTATAACACTCCTTTTTAATTTATTTGAGAAAATGAGAATGATTTAGTTGGGATGGGTAATCCAGTTGAGTAGTTAAAAAAATCCACAAATGAAAAGTTTAAAAAATAAAATAAAGTAAAAAATCAGAAAAAGTAAAATTTCTGTTATTTTTTTGGTGAATCAAAGTATTTTTGCTTCAATGCATATGGAAACTTTTGAAAGTTCACCTTTTTATCTAAAAATCATTTTGCAGTTCACCTCCTAAGTTCTTTTAACAAGAAAAATACCTCAAAATAAGAATTGCTTCAATACTTCTTAATTCTTCCTTATCAATTCATAAATGATTACTGCTACGCCACTACATTGTGCTATTGATAACTACAATCCCTAATAGACGTATATCAATTGAATATCTAAAGAAAGGAATGATATTTGTTAAGAAATTTTTTATGACCTAACCATTCCTTAATGGAGATCCTGTCCATTCTTTTCTATTTTGTACCATCCATCTAAAAGAGCATGCATATGTGAAAACTATATCATCTAAAGCCCCAAAGTAATGAAGTATAACAATTAACATACCCTCTTCAGAGGCCAGCTGCTCCCATGCCTTCCTTTTTACAGCTCGTGTACCAGCCTGAAATGTAAGCATGCTTGTATCAGGGAATTGATTTAAATGAACCAGTTGCATGATATTATGTAAGTGTAAGGTCTTGCACGTTTTTTCCGAAACTTGATCATACCAGTCAGTCCCACATGCAATTACCAAACAGAACAATAGTAAATACATGTCTTCAACGCAATTGAAATAAGTATTATAAGCTCACTACCATTATTTAACATTTCTAAATCATGGAAAAATATTATAGTAAAGACAAACAATCTAGCATAGTTGATTCTAACCCCAAAAAAGAAGGGAAAACAACGTAAAAGTTTGAGTTAAAATTACGTACCACCACGTTGTCCCAAGAGAAGATCAGACCATAAGCTTCATCTGGCTTCATTGCATAGCGTATGCGGTGAAGAAAACCATCTTGCAATTTCTCATTCAGATAATCCTATTCACAAATAGAATTAGAAACCTTCAGTAATTAATTACAGTATACTAGCATCACAAAAGTACAAAGAGGCAATTTATCAGATTCCCAAAAAAAAAAACTAGAGATTTCCATGATGACAAAAAATTTCTTACCACATCAACTTTTAATGGTCCGTCTGCCCTAAAAGTCTCAAAGCCTTCCCCATACTCAGCTCCAATAGCCTGGAAGGAAACATCGAGTAAGAAGAGTTACAATCATGTTACATCGATAAACTCACTGTTCCAACAAAATTCTGTACTACGGACAGGAATGAAAAGTGTAAAGAAAAAAATAACACTTGCCATATGAAAACAAAATTAAAATGTAGTTACTAAAAAATAACTCTTTTTATCACAAACATGTTTTGATAACCAATTTATTTAAGTACTTATTATAAACTCTGACAAATTAAGAGCCTATGAATGTTGAGTACTTGGGAACGTTGGTAAACATCTTAAGAAGAAATTGGGTTAAATTGTTTTTATATAAGCTGTACGCTACTTTCTAAGTCATCCTATAGAGCTTACTGAAATAAGCTAAAAACGTTTTACAGTTGTATCATAAGCTATTTTAATTAGCTCTTTCCAACTCTTGCACGAGTGTTTATGCAATAAAATAAAAACAACGAAGCTTTACAACTATAACCTAAATAAATTCATTTTGTTAAACTTCTCTGAGAAACCTACATCTAAATTAAGTTCATAAGAATGTCTAACCACTTTCAGAAGCTTCAATATGTTATTCTTAAATACACCCTATATCCGAAAACATAAAAACCATTCAATCCTTTTTTAATATTTGATAAGCTGCCCTATATCAAACAAACTCTTTTTAACCGGTGCCCGAAGTGCTAGCCGGACATAAAAGAAAAACTCTTAATCTCGGTTGGATGCAGAACATTGAGAAAAAAAAATGAATATGATGAAAATGAAAACTTGATAATAAACAGAAAAATGAGTAGAATCGATACCTCTTCAACAAAAAGCTTATTGGGCTTAAATTGCAACCCATTAACAGAGTCAAAATCATCGGACTTAGAAGTGCAACGAGCGATTAGCCGATTCTTAACCAAACCCGAACGCTTTAAATTCTGAAAATTACAAACGAAAATGAAAAAAAAAAAAAAAAAAAAACACGGTAAACGAAATAACACTAAATAGAGAGAGAGAGAGAGAGAGAGAGAGAAGAAGCCGGATACCGAAAATGGGAAGTGGGGAGGAAAAGGAGAAGGTTGAAGACGATAAGGGTGTGTGGGAGGAATTGCATGAGAAGTTGTTACGGAATTTGAGAAGGTGGTGAAGTCCATGGTTTTGGGATAAACAGAGGAACGTTAATGTTACGGAAGGTGAAGAGAGGAGAAGAAGATGCGAAGGAGGAGGATGCTGTTGTCTGCAATTTGTTTTGTCTGCGTCACTTTTTATTTCATTTGTTTTGTCTGTTCCCAATCCCAATCTCAATCTCAATCTCAATCCCAACCCTGATGTTTTTAATTCTCATCCTAAGCCAAGCCAGGTTCCGCCTCTCACTTTTGTATCACCACCTCTTCACTGGATAACCTACCAACTACTTTAAATCTAATTTTAATAGGAAAATGCCAAATAAAATATTTTCACCACAAAATTATTACCCATATGGGTTCATAATAGTCGTTAATAATTAAAACTATACGTATACCTGTAACAAATCATGGATTTATTTAAAGATTATCAATTAGTTTTTTCATCAATATTTAAGATTATTCATTTTAGATGAGTTAGATCTCAAATTATGAAAAGGTTCAGGTTTAATTATATAATTGAACTCAACTTTATATGTTGCGCATTCTACATTATTTTCAATATTCTCTATAGGTTTGTTAAATTTCTAATAACGAAAAATGTCACCCAAACACAAGTAAAATAACATTATTTTATTTTTATTTATTTTAAAATTATGTGATTTTGAATTATATATATATATATATATATATATATATATATATATTATTTCCCTTTCATAAGAGATCATCATTCTTATTAGAATTTTAATTAACCGTGAAAATTTAAAATATTGATGATAGAATATGTAAAAAAAAAACTTAAAAGTAAAATTGATGAAATAGTGATAATTATGTAATAAAATATACAATTAAATCTTATAAAAAATTACATTTTTCAGGAGTATAATATTATTAACTATGATGCAAGTAAAATAAAAATATCGATTGTGGAAGTTTATATTTTCTTTTGTTTTTTTTTTAACTATTATACATCATTTCAGTGCAGTGGCACTAAAAAAATGTTTTCAATGTTTCTTATACTAACATGTGAAGACAGAATTAAATTAAAAACATCATGACAATTTTGTAATTAAAAAATAAAAACATGAAATACATCCTTGTAAGTTTTCAATATGGCAACCACACTCTAAAATACTTAAAATATTAACTAAAGGTTATTGAAAATGTAAAATTTTGTGATTTTTTTGTTAATTTAATAGTTTAAAATTGATTATAACAAAATAAGGGTATTTTTCATCATTCCTCAACCAAGAATTACATTTATATATTGGTACAGCAGCGTGAAGGATCATACTTTCTAATAATAATAATGCATCCAAGCAGAGCAACATAATCTACTAGCTCCATCAAAGGCAGCTACAGAATTACAAGCCAATCACTCAAACACAACATATTTTACAAAATCAGGCACCCACAAAAGCCTCTACATAAATAACATGAACGTAAGCACATGAACCAATAAAGAATGACATCGGAACATAAAGATGCACGTGTGGTGGCTATTCAATCATGAATAGGGATTGAGGGTTGAAATATCATGCCCTTTTCTTGTTTGGTTTGGTCAAGGGGGGGAGTGATATATGAATGAATCCAAATTTCTTCCTCTGTGGTATGAACTGCTTCTGATTGCTCCCATCTTTCTCAGTCTTTGTTGGAAGAGTTAGATCCTCCCTCAATGCTTGAAGCATTTGACTCAATGCTACCTTTTGTCTTTCAGTGTGCTCTTCCATCTCCTTTCTTGTAGCATATCCTTCAGGAACCTGCTTTCTGCTAAGTACATCTCTCATAGAAATTGTGGGCCTTAATGTTGGCTTTGGATCTTTGTTTGCTGCTGTTGACCTGGTTACATCATGCAGAGAATCTTGACAAATTCCACCTTGATTAAGCTTGTTACAGTTAATAGTGTTATACCCCTTGAGATCATCCTCTGGAATCCATCTCCTCAGAGCCTCCTCGGCAGCATGCTGCTTTCTGTTTGCAGTTTCAACTCTGTTTAAAGCATCTGTCAAGACTTGTTTGCTGTGTAGAACTTCCTCAGTTGCTTCCTCCAACTTCTTCAAAATAGTCAGTTTAGAAATTTTTGTTTCATCAATTTGAAACTTGGAATCTGTTACCTTCTTCAAGGTTGACTCCTCAGGTATCTGAGCCTTGGGGGTTAGGGGAGAGCGATCACCAAAAGCAAAAGTGACTTTCTCAGGTTCTGGCAGAATAAATCCTGAAGATCTCTCAGCATTAGATAGAGCCTTGATTTCAGCAAGAGCAATAGCTTCTGCTGCTCTTGCAGCTTCTTCCATCTTTTTAGCAGCAAGCCACCTCATCTCAGCAGTCTTAACACTGAATCCATATTCTTCATACACACTTAAGGGCTTTGAAGGTTCAGATCTTCTAGTCTCAGCCATTCTATTGCACTGCCCAGAATCAGAATTGAAATTCATCATAGTATTTGCAGGCTTACCAAAGGCACATTCTACATGAGATGCTGGTGGAGTCAATCTTGTTTGCTCTTGGACCTTCTCTAGAGCAGACACTGCTGCAAACTTTGATGCTAGGTTTTCACGTGTCCTCTCCAGAAAAATTTTCTCCTTCTTCATCTTCTTATTCAAAGTCTCAACAGAGGACTGTATCACCCCAAGTTCATTTATAGTTTTGCCTAGATTCAACTTGGCTTGCTTCAACTCCATTAAGATCACATCAGGTGATGATGACATTATAGAGCACGGGCTTGGAATTTGCATCATCTGTTCTTGATCATTGACATTATTTCCACAATTTTCCTTATTCATGTCCTTAATAACAGGAGTTCCAACTTGTTCATACGAATTTACATCTCCAGATACAAAACATTTCATAGCCTCTTTTTGTAATTGCTGCTTCAAGTCCTCCACAATCTTCTTGGTAGCTCCCAGTTCTTCAAGCACGTCAAGAGTTTCTAGTTCTTTGACAATCAAATCCTTTTCCAACTCCGCTGCCTGTTCCTCCACTTTCTTTATGTCAAAATCTTCAATGCTGTTCTGCTAATGATAATCTTCTTCTACATCAGAAAGTAAACTAATACACGGGACAGGTATCAAGAATGTACAATGAACTATCCTACTTCAAAGCATATTAGTAATCAACTAACTATGCAACCAAATTTCTCTTCAAATAAATCATTAAAGCATTTCATTTTTTTCTAAAATTGAAAATAAAAAAAAATAAAAAAAAACTTACAAGCAAATTTGTATTATTCTTTAATTAAAATGGGAGTTCTGGTTCTTCGCGTAATAAAAACTTGTTAAAACAATACAACGATATCCCAGTGTTTATTTACTACAAATTTTGACTTTGCATTGTAGTGTAAATTCTAAGTGAAGCTCTAACTTTAATGAGTACATTCTAATTATTTAATGTTATTTGATATCTCTCTCTCTCTCTCTCTCTCTCTCTCTCTCTCTCTCTATCTATATATATATATATATATATATATATATATATATATATATATATATATATATATATATATATATATATATATATATATATATATATATATATATATATATATATATATATATATATATATATATATATATATATATTCAGATTATCACCAAAATCACGCCTTACATGTAACTAAGGATTAAAATGAAGGATGGAGATTAGTTTTAGGAACTCTTTTTTTTTTTTTTAATTGTACATATTGAAGTGAAAATGAATTGCAATTGAAAGAACTAAATTAGTTGTAAATCAATTTAATTGAACAACATCAACAATACTTAAGCAACTTCATTTACATTTTTATTAAACGAACAACAATCTATTGTTTTTTATAATATATATATATATATATATATATATATATATATATATATATATATATATATATATATATATATATATATATGTCAAAAAGTTTCTGTAGACTTGTTTATATATAAATGCTGATAAAAAAGTTTATTCAGAACTTAATAAGCACCCAACGCATATATCAATTGATGCAAGATTAATCAAGTTTAATTAATAATTTTGAATTTAAGTTTTGAAAATGCAAACATCTTCGATAACTCTTATTACTAATTTTGCAATAAAGAAAAACAGAAACGCACACTCTCTTGGGTCCAAGGTGCAGAAAAATAGATCCAAAAAACTTACAAAAAACCGTATCCAAGGCCCGCTACCTCCAAACCGGGTCACGGCCTCTTTCACCGACCCAAATGGTGGTGACGTGTCAATCTCCGCTCGGAAATTCACCCTTCGAATCCCACCCGACCCGATACCGCCATGGTTCGCCGTCTGGGGTCTCACTTCCATTATGGCGGGCGTTCCGGGCACCCCATCGGCGGCTGCCGCGTCTCGAGTTTCGGCCATTTCGACGAAATCAAGAAAAGCGTAGGAATGTAAACTCGGGTTTCAGAGAAGAAGCATGGAGAAAACCCAGAGGCGAAAAAGTTGGTTCTTGGTGGAAGCTTGGACTTCCGCGAAAGACCCATTGGAGAATTTATGCAATCCGAGGATGATGGAAGTGGAAGGAGGGGCGTGATGATTATGTCGCAAGCCCGAATCGCGACTCGGTGCGAAAAGCGGGACCGAGTGGTGACTCGGTGAGCGAAACGGGAAAAGGAAAAGCGGAAAGGGTTGCAGAGGACGCTTTTGCGAGGGACTTTTTCTTTTTGCCGATGAATGATAGGGTGGGGCTGAGGACCATGGGTTATGGTGGTGCACTTTAAGGTGGTTGGTTGGTGCGAGTGAGAGCCAATGAGGAAGTGACGCGTAAGAAGAATAGTGAGGTTATTGGTGATTGACTGCAGCGTGACTGGCGCGGAAAAGCTTTATGATTGACTTTTTAGCGGGGAAAAAGGTATAGAGTGGTACTGAACGAAACGACGACGTTTAGCGCGACCCACCACCACTAACACTCTTTGGAGTAAAAGCATTCGCCACTGCCAAACGCTACAGTGAAATTGTTGCTTTAAGAAAAGTTTTTACATTTTTTAATGAAAACAAAATAGAGTACCCAGGATTCAGTGCAAGTAGGCACTCATTGTACTGCCAAACTATTTGCATTGTAACAGTGTTAAAAATAGCATTTTAAAGCACAATAATGATAAATCATCACTTAAGAACTCTCTAATCATTATTTTTCCATTTTCTTTCCCATTTACAAGAAGAACATCAATTGAACACGTTTTACCAAGGCAGAGAAAATAATTTAAGAAGGTAACGTGCACACCAAAATAAAAAGGATGTTATTTTAACTTGTTCATCATAAGTTGTCATGATTAACTCTTTCAGCTGGCAAAAGGGAAGATGCATGCAATCTTGGAGGTTGGCTGGCCCAGAAAATAAACATTTCATAATCTGATTAGATTTGCATGAAATTGATGGTGAGATAGAGAAGCTTCTTTTGTCCTTTGTATAATATAATTTATATGAGATTTACTTTAATACTATATTATACTTACAAATATGATTAGAGTGCATATGTTTTTCTTAGTTTGTTATTTTCAATTCTCTTTTATGATGTATGAAAACAAAAATGTTTAAGTCTAAATTTAATTATGGTTAGTTATTTAATGTCGAAGGTTAATTAGTATTTTCAATTCATTGTCCGTTTTCATCTATTTCGTCAAGGTTATGAGTCGGTTAGATCACTCCCTAACTCGCTGTGCACGTAAAAAATTGAAAAAGTTTTAATTTTATTTATATATTATATGAGACACTTTTATTTCTTAGGTAAAAAAATGTTTTCTCTTCTTTTCTTACTTATCGTCTCATTTTTATATATTTTTTATCATCTTCTTGTTATATAAAAATTATATATATTTCATATTTTTTTATTAATTTTTTCTTTTTTCAATTCATGTGTTATTGAAGATGGGGAAAATAATGATCAAGATGAAGAAGTGAAATAATTTTCTAATGGTACATCTAATAATCTGAACATTGATTGTTCTTATTCTAATGACTTGAATTAAATATATCATAATTACTAAATGAGAGAACAATTATGAAATTAAAAAAAAAATTATATTGTAATTTCATTTTAGATGTTTTAACTTTTTAATATATAAAATAAAGATTTAATAAATTTTGACTATCACATACGTAAATTTATTATTATTATTTATTATTATTATATATAAAATTTAATTTAATTTGTTTTTTTCTAAAATATAATTTATTAAAATAATCAATCTATTTATATTGAATTTTTAACAAATAAATAATAATGTTATTATTAAAAAATTTGATTTAGATATATATATATATATATATATATATATATATATATATATATATATAACTAGTCAACTCGTCCTTTAATAAGGTGATAAAAGATCTGTAATTCGTCATGATCATAATGGCTAACTAGGGATGACAATTAAATTTGTACTCTGGGGACCGACCCGTTCCAGTCCCGAGTTTGACGAGAAAAACCCGAGTTGACTGGGGATAGGGGCGGGGACGGGTTCAGGTTTTTCCAGCTCTAAAAAGTCGGGCGCGAGGATGGGTAATGCAATCCCACCCCGATCTCGTTCTCGTCTCGACTTTATATTTAAATTTAAATTTTAAAATATTAATATTTAAAAAGTATTTTCTTTTCTTTTTCTATTACATATAAGCTCATTTTTTTTAATATTTCATCATTTTTACTTTTCTTCTATCCACTTTTTTATTTTTTTGTTTTTTTTAATCTTTTATATCAATTAGTTTATTGCATTATTTTCTCTTTTACCTTTCAGTTTTTCGCATCTCCTTAATCTATTTAATCAAAAAAAATTTCAATCTTTTCAACCAATTTAATGAACATAAAGTTAATTTTTTTTTCTTTTTCTAAATATTTTACATAAATCTTAATAGTAACTAATATTATTTTATTTATAATTTATATTTATTAGATTTTATTATGTCATATTTTGTATCTTATTATTCTTATTTGTCATGTATCAAATTTTATCTTAATAAAATAATTGTATTTTAAAAGATTAAAAAGAATTGATAATTTAAACTTTTATTACTTCGAACTAAGTAAATAAGAACTAACTTATTTAATGTTTCCTTATAAATTATATATTTCATATTTTTAAATGATAACTTAAAAATGAATTAACTTATATATGTAATAAAATGTTTAAATTCAGTATAATAATAATAATAATATTGTAAATATTCAAATATTTGAATATATTGTTATAATAATAAAATGTTATAAATATTATCTCTCTCTATATATTTAAATAAAAAATAATTAAATATTTCTTTTATATACATATTTTATATAAATATAATAAATTAAAATATATATCTAATTAATAATAATTATAATTTGTAAAAGTATAAATATTTATTTTTATATAAAAAATACATACTAAAATTAATTTATTATAAATATAATTATTTTTTTAAAAATAATATAGGCCGGAGACAGAGCGGAAAACCCAAAACCCAATTAGTACGAGGATGGTGACTTAATTTCTAACTCCGGCGAGATCGGAGACGGGGAATCGGAGAGGCAAAACTCCACCCATTACCATGCCTCGGACTAACCCATCCCATCCCACTTCTAACATGTCCTAAGACTCGACAAAAAAATGAGTTAAGTGACTTTTTTTTCACTCCTAATTCTACCCTTTTATTTTAATATTTAGTAAGTAATGTAAATATAAATGTTTTAGAATGATTATTACAAAACTTTAAAGTTTTATATTTGTTACATTTTTTTATTATTATAAACCAAATTAAAAAAAAAAGTTTTCTATGATAAAATAAATGAAGTCAATTACATAGACATGTATGAATATTAAAAAAAAAATGTCTTGTCACTCTCTTATGGCTAGCCCATGTTGGTGTAGCCCCATCCTCACCAACGCATCACGAAAGAGAGCTATTTGGGCCATTTTTGTATATAGCCCATCGTTTTAAGTAAAAAAACAAAAAGTTAATCAGATAAAAAAAAACTAAAAATATATAAATAAAAAATATTGATCATACCTTTCATCCGTTAAATTTAAAATGTATACAATATTAGTCAATTCAAGTTACCCTAGTCCCTTTATTTTGAAAATTATACACATTCGATCTCTTGTAGTTTTTTTCTCTCTCTATCTCTAACATACCAAAAATGTAATTCTTTTACTCTAAAATTCTATAATTAAATTGATTTAAATTTTATTTTAAATTTGCTAATCGAATTTCAATAAAATAAAAATATAGAAAATATATTTTTCAGATTCTTATATTGCATTTTAAAAACTCCTGTAAATCTATACAGATTTTACAAAATACTGATTTCAATTTATTTAAATTATTTTAAATAAATCCATAGAAAATAAATATCTTCAAATATTTAGATGAAAAACATTAAGTTGAAAAAAAAATCATCATTGGATAATAATGTAGAATACAACCAGTTTTGTTGATGACTGCCTTTTTCTAAAATAATTTTATTGATAATCACATTATAAGTTGAAGATTTTGAGACAAGCTTACTTTTTTTAAAGCGGAAAAAAGTAATTAATTAAAAAAGTTAAGGATATACAAATTAAATATATACCTAAATTATATAGTCTTTAACTTCTTCGCTATAGATTAATCATGTTTAATTAATGTATTTTTCATATTAATTTTATTTACGTGAAATGTTTCATAACAATTTCATTGGTAGACATCGGATAATAATCTAAAATTATTATAATAAAGAAAATCTTATATTACCAATAAATATTTATCAATCAATATGTAGTTGTCGAAAAATAAGTGATTACTGATAAAAATTATTAACGAATTTAGATTAGTTGTGAAATTTGGTTTTATTGACTGATATATTCATCGGTAAATGAATAATTAATTATCGACGAATATATCCTTCAATAAATCCTTCTATAATTAATTATTGATGGATATATCTATCGATAAATAAATAATTAATTACCGACGAATATGTTCGTCGGTAAATTAACAATTAGTTACCGATGGATATTACAGACGGATTTAAAGTGTATTTTTAAAAATCAACATTAAATTAAAAAATTAAATATTTAAAATTATATAATAATGAATTAATTTTAAATATATTTTAATAAATTAATTATTCACTTAATTAAAAAATAAAATAATTTTTTATTTAATAATTTAATTTAATCATGATTAGATTAATTTATAATATTTTTTTAGATTAAAATTTTTTAAAAATAAATATATAAGTATTTTTAATATTGAAAAAATTATTTTAATATAATAATTTTAATTAAATAATAGAAGAAAAAAAGATAAATATATCAAAATATATAACTACATAATTATATAAATATATAAATATATAACTATATAAATATATAAATATTTAAAAACTCACTCCACACACATTTTTATCCTCAACTAGCGTCTTCACATCCAACATATAAATATATAATTATATAAATATATAAATATATTTGTATTTATATATAAATATATTTGTATATAAATATAATTTATTTATAAGTTTTATTTTTTATTGCTTTTTCTAAAATAATTTTATTGATAATCACATTATAAGTTGAAGATTTTGAGAAAAGCTTACTTGTTTTTTTTAAAGCGGAAAAAAGTAATTAATTAAAAAATCTAAGGATATACAAATTAAATATATACCTAAATCATATAGTCTTTAACTTCTTCGAAATAGCTATAGATTAATTTTGTTTAATTAATGTGTTTTTCATATTGATTTTATTTACGTGAAATGTTTCATAACAATTTTATTGGTAGACATCGGATAATAATCTAATATTATTATAATAATAAAAAATTTATATTATCAATGGATATTTATCAATAGATATATAACAGTTGAAAAATAAGTGATTATTGATGAAAGTTCCAGACGGATTTAGAATAATGGTAGAATTTGGTTTTACCGACCGGATATATTCATCGTAAATGAATAATTAATTATCGACGGATATATTCGTCGATAAATCCTTCGATGGATATATCCGATCAGTAAATAAATAATTAATTACTTGATGAATATGTCCGATCAGTAAATTAACAATTTTAGTAAATTAACGATTAGTTATCGTAAATTAATGATTAGTCATTGACGGATATTACAGACGGATTTAAAGTATATTTTTAAAAATCAACATTAAATTAAAAAATTAAATATTTAAAATTATATAATAATTACTTAATTTTAAATATATTATAATAAATTAATTATTCACCTAATTAAAAATTAAATATTTTTTTATTTAATAATTTAATTTAATCATAATTAGATTAATTTATAATAATTTGTTAGATTAAAAAATTTTAAAAATAAATATTTAAGTATTTTTAATATTGAATTTTTTTTAAGATAATAATTTTAATTAAATAATAGAAGAAAGAAAAGATAAATATATAAATATATCAAAATATATAAATATATAACTATGTAATTATATAAATATATAACTAGATAAATATATAACTATATAAATATATAAATATTTAAAAACTCACTCCATACACACTTTTATAACGCACTCTTACATCCAACTTATAAATATATAACTATAATATATATATATATATATATATATATATATATATATATATCAAAATATATAAATATATTTGTATATAAATATAATTTATTTGTAAATTTTTATCAAAAAATTCAATTAGGGTGTATCTTATTGACAATTCTCTTAATCTAATATGTATTTACTAAAATATAATAAATAATAAAAATATAAAATAAATGGGAGAGATAATAAAAATATAATATAAATATAAATAGAAAGGGAATCTTTAGATAAATAAATAATATTATAAATAAATAAAATTAAATAAATAAAGAGATTATAAATAAATAAAAATGTGTGAATTTTGATAGATTTTTCGATGGATATAATTATTTATGAATTTTTTAAATCCACCCACCTCTAACACAATTTAGGATGAATTTTTGTCCGTGAATATGTATTTAGCCACAGATTTTATTCATTGGAAAATCTAATTTTTGTTGTAATAGTGTTGGGACACTTTTCTACCTAAAAGGAATATTAATATCCTCTAAAAGATTATTACAGTCTCATGTTGGCTTCTACCTTTAGCCCTCTTCAAGTAGTAGGAGTTAGCAAAAGATCAATTTTTTTTTTCAAAAGTAAACAACATTTATATTCCAGCTGCTACAATGTCTGTCGTCCTACAATTTACCGTTATGTATTTTAATTCATAGTACATGTAGCTGTCTTGCTTCATTTGGGTCCCTGCATTTCCTCAATATTTTGTTCTCTGCTGAGATTCTGCAATACACACACATTCATCTCTTTTAATATCACTGGGTTATGCCCATTGCATACTCTCTTACATAATCAATTGCAATAATTTATGAGAATGAGGAGACAAGTAAGGAAATATATAAGAACAATGAAATATGATAATACGTGGAAAGGACGAAAGTTGACACGTTTGGTTACAGCATTAAAATAGAAAAGCAGAGACAGTTTGCCATCTATCACATTAAATTGTGGTGTGTTTGTGCATGGCGTGAAACCCTGAAAAGCCTTTTATGACCATGTCACGTCACAGTACAATATTTCTAATACCCTCTGCATGTGTCCCTTCTCATCATTTAACCACTTTCAATTGTTACCATCCAATTCATTATCCTGCTCCTCCATTCTTTCCGCAACATTTTGTTCCTTTCACCATGGCACGGCATTACACGAGACCCTTACCCTGGTCACGAATGACGTTGGATAAGTGAATATGAACATGGTTTAGGTTTTGTCAAAACATCCATGTTGTGCACTGTGTGCATTTACGTCTACGCACCTTCAACCATAAACATTTAAACAAAATCACAGATTTCCATTCCCTCACGCCATATGAATTATTTGGGGTGATGAATGATTTTATAGGTACTTGCCTCACCGTAATGTTCATTAGTCTCCAAATCCATGGTCCATATGCTTCCAAAAATAATTGTGCAGCTACCCATTCCACTTGTTTTTACACTTTGTCTACCATCTATACATCACCCATTAAATCTACTCGGCAATTAATTTGGTCCCCATCCAAAAAAAATTCTATTTTCAAATTATATAAAAAATGTAAGGATGTAGTGGAACAGGTCATAGATCCACGAGCTCATGTATAAAATTTATTTTTGTTTTATCTTTGTCTTGCTTTTGTTTTACTTTTATAATTTATTTAATTTATTATTTCTGTAAAAATAAATAAATAATTAATTAAAATATATTATTTAAAAAATAAATTATAATTTTTTATAAACATTATATTAAATATTAATAATTAATTAAAAAAATATATTAAATATTTTAATAAAATTATTAATAAAATGTGTTGATCAATATTATTTAATAAAAAAGTAATAATAAATTATACTATATACCTTATTTCTATATACTCTAGTTTTCATATATGCCATATTAACATCACTGCAAAATTTGACTTACGATTGTGTATAAAATAATGATATCGTCAGGAAGTAGGAGAAGCTAGCTGTTTATTATGTTATTGTCGAGTAACGTGAACACTTGGTATACTTTTATTTTTCCCAACTATCGGGTCCTGCAAACCAAACATTATGCTGCCGCAAGTCTGTCTTAGTCTACTCACAAATTGCTAGAAAATAGCTATCACACACCCTGTTTTTGACTCTCTTTTCGGATCTTGAGGCATTTAGATCTGAGTTTAAGCCACACACAACACACAAAACTTCACCGCAATCTCACAACACACACCCACACACACTTGTGTTTGAGTTTATTCACACTATCCTCCAGAAACTTCACACAATCTCACTAACAAGCTTGGGTTGGAGTGTATTCATCCACCAAATGTTGAGTGAGGGTGCCAACAATCACTCATCCAAAATGTCCTTCAGAATAACAAAGGATGATAGGTTCTTCTCTAGGCTAATGACCAAGGAAGCCAACACCCCAAACTCCTCTTCAAGGATCTTCTATTACAGAGAAACTTCAGTCGCTGTTCCTTTCACTTGGGAGGCACAACCTGGTACCCCCAAACACCCTTTGTCAGAGACATCTCTTCCTCCACTCACACCCCCACCTTCCTATTTTTCAAACTCCCACAGTGCCAAGGGAAGAAACTCCAAGGCCAACAACATCTTCTCAAGCATTCTGCCAAGGCTTCTAGGGTCAAGAAAGTCTCACCACGAGTCACCATCATCATCTTCTAGGTCACCTTCTTCTTCCTCTTCATCTTCCTCTTCGTGGACTTTGGCATATCATTCCATGAGAGACAAAGATCAAGGTCAACAAGGAAGAAGCCCCTCTTTCTCGCGCCCCGTAAAACCCGTATGTTGCAATGGATTTAGAGGGTGCTATCCCTTTGGGAACATGATCAGGAACGTAAATGTAAGCCATGGTGCAGACTAGTTAGTTTAATATATAATTAGAAATTTGTTATTCTGCATGGTTTTAATATTGTAGAGATCTTGAACATTTTTTATGTAGTTGTTAATTAGTATTTTTTTTTTTTGTGTACCTTAATCCCATTTATTTTGTATTTCCCCTCTTCTTTCTAAACACATTAGATCTCAAAATGTATCAGGGACAGTGATCGCTGCCTGAAAACCATGCAAGGCCTGATAGGTTGCATTCTAAATGCATGAGGGTTATATTTTAGAAATTTTTTCTCTAGGATAAATTTCCACCTATGCTTAGAATCCAATTACATATGTATATATTTATTTATTTATTTTCTGTAGAAACTCTTGATTACAAAGTTCGAATATATAGAACCTCACCAATTATATAAACTAACGAGATAACAAAGGCTAAAAATTAGATCAAAAGAGGTCACAAAGGTTTTGACTCTTGCAACAGATTGGGCTTTAATCATTTCTCAAAGACCACCAACTCCACTTTAATTAGTGTGTCGTGATATTTGGACAATGACATTATGTGAATTGAGTACTGTTATATGTTCTTATAATTTTTGTCGAATAATAACAAATATTAAATGAAACATACATACTTAATGTCTTAGGAATATAAAATGCATTTATCATAGAAAAAGATAAAAAAGTATTGTAAGAGAGTTTAACTTAAAAATTATTAGTGTACATACCTTCGTAATTTTACAAATTATCAGTTGTCTTTTTTTAACATGATTTCTGCTCTTTATGAGCAACGAAATGGGTCACTGAATTTATTCGAGTCCAGTCCAACTATGGTCGGTCCAGTCCAATTATCACCCTTTAAAAAAAATTCTAACTTTTCAGTGCATGTTTGATTTTGAATTTGGTGGCTTCAAACTTCATTTTGGAGCATCAAACGTATTATGCTTTATGTTTGGATTCCTCTGAAAATCATGTTGCCATCAAATATTCCCCCCTACACACAGTTTACTTTGGAAGCAAGATACGATTAACCATTTATTACTCTTTTATCCACTCCTGCAATCTATTTTTCCCACTACACAACAACTTGATACCCTTCTCATTAGTCACACACACTTATTTAAGCTATTTCAACAACCGAACAAAAAAACGAATCATTAACTTTGTTTGAGTCCTTTGTCGGTTTTGACTTTCTTTTTCCTAGACGCCGCATGCAATTCTCTCCCAAGTCAACTTTGATTTTTCTAAATATAATCGTTTACTTTGATACACATTCAACAATTGTCAACAGTTTGAGAGTTCAGATGATTATAATTTATCTTTTGGATAACTGTTTAATATTTTGCGAAAAATCAACGTAAAGACTTAACAACGTAGGATCGAGTCAGAAGTTGACGAACACAATAAACTTAATTGACCTAGAAACGGTTTCTAGAAAATCCTCGTCGGTATATATATTAATAAATATCATTTTGAGTAATAAGCTTTGCATTTGGGTCAGGGTCACTTATGAATTGGGCCTTTCAGTTGGGATTGGGTTTCAAGACTCAATCACAAGGTCCAACTTATGTATCGTATAAATATTTTGTTCACCTTTTTGTATTTGGGAATAAATATTTTGTAAAGTAAAGTTTACTTTATGAAGTATCCATTGTAGAAAGAAAGTGTGGATAAAGTTACTTGTGGTTGTGAGATAGTATCATTATATTCTCGTGCATTGGGGACCAATGGAACTTGGAGTAAGTGGTTGACCTAGCTATTATCGTAAAAAACTAATAATATTGAATACTTATCTAACATTTTTTTTAATGTGTCATAAGTCTTGTTTGCACAACACATGGCACAAAAAATGAGAGTTAATATGATTTTTTTAATTATATTTTTAAAAAAGTCAAACACTACTATTTGCTGGTAGATTAAGTCTCAAAGTTGAACTCGTTTATGTTTTATTCGGTAACAACATATAAATTGAGAAAAAAAAAAGAGAGAGGGTGAACCCATATTACATTATTTTTTCCCAAATCAAGTGAATAAAAAAACCACAATTTACACATTACTTATTATTTTACTTGTTATTTTCAATATATGAATCTCATACAACCAATAACGAAGTCATATCAAATATTTGAAATGTACACACACCAAATGTAAAAATAAAATATATATTTTTAAATTAAATCATTTCAAAAGGTTAACTTACACTCTATGTTTATTTTGTTTATCTGTACTAAGATGATTATATTTTTTTCTTATCCTTTACTTTTTATTTTCTTAAAAAAAATTGTAGAAAATATAAACGAGTGGAGACACTTGACATATATATATATATAAAAAAAAGTGAACTCGCTTTTACAGTAGCAATTTTAGAAAAAATAATATTTATTTAAAAAAGCTGCTTTGACTGCATTTGCGTGTTGACCGATTCAATCAGTTTTGTCCGAGTTTGACGTAAAACTACCACTCAAATTCTCTGCCTCCCATCATCCTTTTCTTAATTTCTATTGTAATTTTTATCGTGTTTAAAATTAATTAAGTGGACTTTAATATGAGTGATTACTTATTTTTTAAAATTATACTAGAGGAGAAAAATTTATATCATTCATTTAAATTATTTAATAATTTGTTATTAAAATATGTGAATTAATGAATAGTATTTTAGGAAAGGTGGGTAATGAAAAAAATGGAAAAAAGCGAGAATGCAGAGAGGATCTTTGCCCCATCATTTATTAAACAAAGTCTTACTTTGTTGTTGAAACATCACAGACACAATATATATTGTTTTTATTGTAACTTTTCCGCTTTTGTATAAATTAATAATAATAAACACTATGAAGGATCATTGATAATCTCGAGGTCACTCACCACCACTTTTAGCAAATGTTTCAGTTCAATTACACTATTATTATTATTATTATTATTATTGTATTTGTGACATTTTTTGTGTGTGGACATGTCCTCTTACATTTCCCTTGTCACTTTCCTTTTTCATCTTTGCTTTTTTCAGAAACTGTTGGTTAATGCTGACGGTGAATGGTTGGTTCCAAGTTAAGTTTTTTTCTTCCACAATTGATACTCATTATTCGCACGTGTTATGTAACATTATAAAGTCAGCATAAGCATATTTACAGTACTATTTTGCTAGTATTTTCTCTGGAAGAACATTCTGCTTTTATCATTCATCCAGAAAAAAAAATATAATAAATACTCTTTTTTTTTTTTTTTAAATGCGCACTATTACCTCATCATGTGCCAGACTTTTAAAATTTTCCACCACCTCTCAAATTCAGTGTGTACAATCATTGTCTCAATATCAAAATATTTAATAGTAATTAGATTAATAAAACAATTATTTTACCGATAATGCCCATATTAATAATTATAATTATTATATTTTTCTTTCTACCAATTCTTTTTATAGAAAGAGTAATTTAGAAGACGATGAGTTGACTTAGTAATTAAAACCATGTGCTTCGACTTGTGGGATAATTTATTTATTAAGGAATCCAATCTCCATCAGAACAACAAAATTATATATATACATTTTATTGATTGATTAATTATGTTTTAATTCATAAAATTTAGGATAAATAATGTGTTAATTCCTTCAATTTAAAACTTTCATTTTAGTCTCTTAAATTTAATAAGCTATAATTTTAGTTCCTGAGTAATAAATTTGTCAGTCTAAAAATAATTTTTGAAAAACTTATTTGAGTCTATATCTTAAACAAGATTTTAATTTTAATTTTTTTAAAGAAAAAAAGTCAAATTGTTAAAAAAAAAAAAAACAACAACAAAATGGACGGGTACTCATCAATTATATGATTAAAAAACGGAATCCTTATTCAAATACTCATTAACGACATTATCAAAAACTATAATTAATTTCTCAATTACAAATAGATAAAAAAAACTGAAAAATGGAGAAAAAAATATCAGATTAAATGTTCTAATGATTAACTAAACTATAAATAAACAAATATGAAGAAATTGTTTAAAGTACTAAAAAATCAGGCAGGGAAAAGCGTGTCAATTTTTTGTTTATTACATAAAATTATATATAAATTATTTGACTGATAAAAAACCTGGTAAAAGATAATCGGTTACATATTGGGAATTTTGTGGACCCACTTGAGTTGAGCACTTTGTCTAATGCGCTTAGAGTGTTTGTGTTTGTTTGATTGAAGTGATCGCATGCCAAATGTTTCAAACCAATCCCTCCACTCCCATTGAAAGCAACTCAATTACCACTATTTCTCACTTCGCCGTCCTTCAATAAAATAAATAAATTAAATAATCCAACTATCATAATTATATAATTTTAATATTTTAAATGTTCTAATTAAATTTTTAAAATATCATTAATCTCTCATATATGTTCACTTATTAATATTAAATCAGCACTTATAATTATGGTATTTGAAAGATTTCACTTACACAGTTGAAGTTTTTAAAAATTAAAGTCATACGTTGTATATGCTTAGAGGACATATAATTGATGTAATTAAAATCTTACACCTAAAATTATGATCTTTAACAGACTGAAAATTATATTAAACTATTAAACATTGCAATGTCTTTTGAAGTGCACTCGACAGTTAATATTTGTTATAATCATTAATAAAAATAATTAATGGACCCAAAAAAAAAATAGTAACTGTTAGTTTTGAATAACATCCTTTAGATAGTTGAGAGATTAATTTCAATATTTGTCTTTACGTCAATCAATATTTTACATTTTCAAGAATCATATCACATACTTAGAGCATCTTTGTGTTCGGCATTTTTATTTTTTTAACTTTTTACATATTTTAAGAGAATTAAACTGTTACTCATCACTAAGTTCTACTTTTTATAGTTTAAACAACCCTTTCCTCCTCCATCAAACAACTCTAATTTTTTTTACTAAATAAGTCTCACAAATATCCTCACAACCTTAGATTTTGAATAACATCAACTTTTTTAGTTCTTTAATATTTACTGAATAAAAATTAAATGTTAAAAAGTATTTACTTTTTTATTTTAATTGTTATCTTTGAAAAAAAAGTTTATTTCTATTTATAAAGTTTAAAATTATATTAATTATCGTTTTCTTATCTTATTAATTATTGTAAAAGAGAGAATAACAAATTATTATTAAAGTATCAGATAACATTTTTTTAAAAGAATTCTTATAGTATACAGAATTACGTAAAATAAGTATGAGAGAAATTGAAATAATAAAATATTATTTTATAAAACAACAAATTTAATAAAATGAATAAAAATATATTTTTTTTAATTTGTGGAGACAAATCTTAAATTACACACACTAAAAAAACCGTTTCTTAAATTACATACATAAAAAAACGTTGGAGTAATATTGTGAAATTTTCTTAACTCTTTCAGTTTCACGATGAGTAGAATTTAAATTTTTTGTACACCTCAAGAATAAGAATAAGCAATAATTGACGGGTATATGAATGATGAATAAATGCATGTGAATAAAAACTAATCGCATGAGCGTTCCACGATGCATTTAATGATATTAAAAAAAAAGGAGGAGTTATAAATAAGTAAGTTGATGGTTGAATTTCAAAGTGAAAGATTAAATTGCCATTATTTCTCTTCAAAATATCTCAACTGATATGGTATTCTTTTATTAATTACTGTAACTATTTGCCTATAATGTTAAAATAAATATATATATATATATATATATATATATATATATATATATATATATATATATATATATATATATATATATATATCCATTCATTCATTCTGATCCTATATTGATTATATATTAATTGGGTCTAGTTTGGAAAATAGATTTATTGAAAATTGTGACCATTTAAATCTTAACTGAGTCAAATTCTAGAATGCACAATTGACCCTGTTCAATTTTTTACCTAAACTAGAACATGGTAAAAGAAAAGCTATCGAACCTGTTTAACATACGAACAACTCCAATACGAGGATCTGAATAAACGTCAGTGCCTAGTCCCTTTACTTTTGACTATAAATATGTTGTGTATTCCAAGAGGATAGTACACAAATTTAATCTACACTGTGTCCCTGTGCGTGTCACTACCATCCATTCTTGCTTTATGACTGCCAAAAACTGAGGTGAAGCCTGAAGGACCATTCTTGTCTCGCCTTAAGAAGTTAACTGGCAGCAGCAACAGTTTCATTTCCTACATCAAATTCTTTCCCTGCACATGCCAAGTGTTGTAGCTGTGTTGTTATGGCATGTCATTGCCTTGCTTCTTGTGGCAAATTTTGGGTATGCTTGGAGCTCTGATGCCACAAAACACAGACCAGAGGTGATTTATGCTCACAATGGAGCTGTTGCCACTGATGACCGTAGATGCTCAAGGATTGGGAAGGATGTTCTCAGAGAAGGAGGGCATGCTGTGGATGCTGCAGTGGCTGCTGCCCTTTGTTTGGGAGTTGTGAGTCCTGCCTCAAGTGGCCTTGGTGGTGGAGCCTTCATGCTTCTCAGGCAGGCCAATGGGGTGGCCAAGGCCTTTGACATGAGAGAAACTGCTCCTGCTCTTGCCTCCAAGGTACCACCTACCTTCCTAACTCTAACCATTTTAGTTATTATTGTTCAATTGATGAATTTGTTGCTTGATTGAGACTCGAGATAAGCAAAAGAGATAGAAAACGAAAAATATCTCAAATTTTCTCCTTGTTTATTTTAATTCCTTTTATCTCATAATAACCGTCAGCTGGTGTCTTTAGACACTCACTGTTTAAGGAGATAAAATTAAAAATTTAGGTAACATGATGTTTAGAGATGCAAGTTCTATATATGTATCTTTGTACATTGAGGGATTAATTCTTGACACTGGTTTTAAGCATTCAAAATTGGGCCGAGATTATTGGGGAGGACAGAATGTATTGCACTAAGGAATTCAATCGGGACGATTATGCAATACCTTGAAGGTTTATTAAACACTACTAAGGTGAATTAAACATGGTATATCCATTTTTTTCAGGATATGTATGGTGGAAATACTACTTTGAAGGCCAAAGGTGGCCTCTCTGTAGCAGTTCCTGGAGAACTTGCTGGCCTTCACGAGGCGTGGAAACAATATGGGAAACTTCCATGGAAAAGACTTGTAAATCCAGCTGAGAATCTGGCACGTTCTGGGTTTAAGATATCAGCATACCTGCACATGCAGATGGAATCGACAGAGTCAGATATATTGCAAGACAAGGGTCTTCGTAGCATTTTTGCACCACAAGGAAAACTCTTGAATATAGGTGACACATGCTACAATACGAAACTAGCTGATACTCTGAGAGCAATATCTGAGTCTGGTCCAAAAGTATTTTATGATGGATTGATTGGTCAGAATTTAGTTAAGGATGTTCAGAATGCTGGAGGGATATTGAGTACGGAAGACCTCAAAAATTACACTATTAAACAGAAGAAACCCTTATCTACAGATGTTCTGGGACTAAATCTCCTTGCCATGCCTCCTCCCTCTGGTGGGCCTCCAATGATACTTGTAAGTCTATCTGATTCACCGCATTGGTTTTCTTGTTAATATTGTTTTCTTTTTATTTTTCTTTATATCTGTCTTTTTATTAGCAAATTAAAGGATTTAGCCAATGTTATATTTTGTTTCAGCTGCTGAACATCCTGGATCAATATAAACTTCCTTCTGGCATTTCTGGTGCCCTCGGGTACCATCGAGAAATTGAAGCTTTGAAGCATGTATTTGCCGTGAGAATGAATCTTGGTGATCCTGATTTTGTAAATATAACCGAGGTTATTTCTGATATGCTTTCTCGTAGGTTTGCTAAAGAGTTGAAAAATGACATCAATGATAACAAGACCTTTGGCCCCAGTCATTACGGTGGCAGGTAAACTCCCAAGTTCGTTGAATTTTCACTAACTAATGTTCACAAGGCTTCATTCATGCCTGTGCTAGTTGATGAGATTATTCAGATTTTATGTCTGTTTCCTACCGCATACATTAGGAACATGTAGCTTTACGTGTGAATGACAGAAAAATGCAGCAGCTGTTGACAAATAGTGCATCATAACTAGCGCGTCTCCATAACTAGAGTTGAAAGATTCAATGATTTCAATTTCATTGTGTATTGGTTGACTTTGGGTGTATAATAATTTTGTCAACTTGATTGAGGAAGTGTCTAAAATTTGTTTATGGAGGTTGACTTTAGGCTTTTGACCAACTTCATCTAGCTGTTTGTTTATCTACAAATGTATTTCTTTCTAATTTGTTAAATTATTATTTTGTTGTCCTTAAATGTAGCCCTGATTTCAGGTTTAGTTCCTATTTAATTTATTATCTGTAGATACAATTGTTTCCACTTAAAGTTAAAACATAGTATAGGGACTAAACGGAAAATAAGAGTCATATATGACAAGAAAAAGTACAATCCATTTTATTTTATTTTCTAGTTATGTTTTTAGTCTTTGTGTCTATACATGGAAGCTACTTTTAGAACTATAAAATGTCATTTAACAAGATATTAGAAACCTACATTACATCTGTGTTACGAAAACAGATGAAAAGAAGGAAGTTGAAAATGTTTGTCTGTGTGGTAAATAAATTGAATATACATAGATCTAAAGAAACAAGGTTAAAATAATATTCTAGGTAGTGATTTATGTAGATACAGAATTCTCAGTTTTGCTTAATTGTCTTTGCAGGTGGAATCAAATTCATGATCATGGTACAAGTCATTTATGTGTAATAGATGATGAGAGGAATGCCATTTCCATGACAACCACTGTAAATGCATATTTTGGTTCAAAGATCCTTTCACCAAGTACAGGAATAGTACTGAACAATGAGATGGATGATTTTTCCATGCCTAGAAATGTTTCCAATGATGTACCACCGCCAGCTCCTGCGAATTTCATCATGCCAGGAAAGCGGCCTCTATCATCCATGTCACCAACTATAGCCCTCAAGGTAATCATCCTTTAGCTAGATTTGACTTTCTTAAATTTGGCTATCCTTTTCAACATTATCATTTATGTCATCCACTACTTGCCAAATTTTAGACTCATCAAGAAATAGAAGATTTTAATTTATTAAATAACACAATCACTCTTATCATGTATACAAGATAACAAAACTTCATTTCAATGGTTATGAAATCCTTTCATTATTATTAGTTAAGGTACTCAGTGTTCACTTGCAATGATTTTTTTACCATGCCTATATAGGATGGGAAGCTAAAAGCTGTAGTAGGTGCAAGTGGCGGTGTTTACATCATTGGTGGAACTTCAGAGGTTCTTTTGAATCACTTCGCTAAAGGACTGGATCCTTTTTCTTCTGTAACGGCTACAAGGGTCTATCATCAGGTATGTTGAACTTTTAACGGATTGCTGGTTTTCTCTGACTCTAATTGATGACCTCTGTTATCCACAAACTGATATCAACTACATAATTAAGCTCTTATTGAATAAGTTTTTATAATTCAACAACTTATGTATAACTTTCCTATAAATCGACAGTAAATCGGTTTAAACTGTTTCCATAAACTATTCTGGAGAACAAATTGAAATAAGTTAAAAACAGATTATAGACAATCATAAGTTATGCTCATAAATTCTTCCAGCTATTTACACAAGTACGTATGTTATAATAAGCTTAAACTCTTCCAAAATCCTGATATTTTTCTCTTTTGTGATAGTGACTGCATACCAGTCTCACCATGTCCGTCAATAATTGTGTAACCCAACATTTTGTTTTATGCAGCTAATTCCTAACGTGGTTAACTATGAGAATTGGACAACTGTGACCGGTGACCACTTTGAACTTCCTGCTGATATCAGGGAAGTCCTTAGAAGAAAGGGTCATGTCCTAAAGGGCATCGCGGGTGGGACAATTTGTCAATTTATTGTTGTAGATCATTTTTCGTCTAGAAAACATAAAGGGATTGGAAATGGAAGGCTTGTGGCAGTGAGTGATCCAAGAAAGGGTGGTCTTCCTGCAGGCTTTTAAGATACATTGTGATATCTTCATTTCATCTATGCTAGTTTTTTCCTTTTCATAATTCTTCTACTGCTTCTGTATTTCAATAATGGAATGAAATATCTACAGGACTCAACGGGTTATCTCTAGTCTCGACAACTTCCCCGCTTGTTTTCTTGGGTTTTACTGTTTTTTGGTTTGCACATTCCTACTCCATCACTTAATTGCATCACCTTGCGACGAGTATGGACACCGGATTCTATAGAAGAATAGTGTAAGCACAAACACAGGATTTTATAATGTGTCAATGTCTTCATGAGTACAGCGGCTATTTTTATTTATAATAAAAAATGCAAATGAATAAATAAAGAAATTAAATTCTTCAACATGTATTAAATTCACTAATAAATATTATAACACCTTAGCACAACTTTGACACTACACTTTTATAGCTAAGTCTCATGGTTTTCTTGTTCAAACACATTGGAAAATAGGGAAGATAGCATGGTGCCGTAACGCATCTCCCAACTTATCTTTTGATATTTAGGACTATAGTTTACCTTATAGCTGCTACGAACTTTCTTATTGGGCAGAGATCATTGGTTGATTTTAAACCTGTTATTATAACCTTCACTGGTTCACCTCGATTACCTGATCTATATCAGTAGCTAGGCGTGTTTTCTTTGATGAAAAAAGAAAAAAAAGATCTCCTTTAATATTCTAAGAAGACGAATACGAATGAGACAAATCATTCTCGCCCTCTTAAGAAAATTATATATGCAAAGATCAGGACGATGGTTTTAGGTGGGCGATCAATTTCAATTGCACTTTTCCTCATTGTATGATATATATATATATAGTATCAAATTGAAGCTCTTTTTATTATAAAAATGCAATAAAGGATGGTGTAATTGTATGAAGCAAACAAGTGGGGAATAAAAAGCAATACAATATAATATGTAGTGATTAGCTCCGATATCTAATTAGTCTGACCCATTACAATATATAGTCATTGCATACAAGTATAGTCTAATATTAAACATAAATACAATAATATGACTAGAATTAGAGAGGAAAAATAAGTAAATAATATTTTGTAACGATACAATTCACTAAAAATTCTTATTTATCTTATGTAATAAAATTTTATATCGACTATAAAAGTGATTCCAGTTTTTATATTATTGAAGATGTTTTATAAGATTCTTACCGAACAGATCTTATAAGATTGAGAGAGGTCTTATTCTTTATGACAGAATCACGTTCAATCTAACTTTTTCTGTTTTGGCCAACCACAATCATGCAAAACATAATATATTTAATAGACGACTTACCAAACATTATATTATTGTTATTACATTACCTAAATAAAACAAAATTGAGCATAATATTTGTTAACAGTTAGCTAATCCATGTTAACACTGAATTAAGAAGATTCCATGGCAATTATTCGTAAGAAATGGCCATGCAAAACATTACAAAACAGATGGGTTTGTGAGTTTTTCAGACAAAGGTGTAGAGTTTACTAAAGTGGTTTACACATGGCAATGGTAAAGAGAAGCGTAGGTGTTTATCAGAGGCTTTTTGGTTCTTCTTATTGTTTGAGCACTTCAGCTGCAACAACTGATCATGATGCTTCTCAGAGGCTTCAGCTTCCACCGTTTGATTACAAGCCGCGACCATACAAAGGACCTTTGGCTGATGATGTTTTTGCCAGAAGGAAAAAGTTTCTTGGTCCTTCCTTGTTCCACTTCTACCAAAAACCTGTGAGTATCCAAAATTAACCAACACTTTTCTGAGATATAAAATCAGCTTTCAATCAGTTTTTTTTCCCCTTTAGAATTGAATCAATGAATAGTTATTTTTTTCCTAGTTGTTGTTTTAAGGAAAAAGTAAAATTAGTTGTTATATTATATGAACATAGGTCTCTGCAATAATTATCATTTGTTAATCCTTTGCTAGTAGTAAGTTAGATACACTGGACTTTTCACTATGCAAAGTGGGAAACCCACTTTTTTTTTTTTTTTTTAAATAAGTGAACTTATTATCATCTGAACAAGTTTACAAATATACGTGAAATATAAAAATATTTGATGAAGTATTATTTTGATAATAATTTATAAGTATCTTATTATACTTATTAATGTTGATTGAAACAATTAAAGAACAAATTAAATAATTAATAAAAGTAAAAAGCCGTTTTAACTTGATGCCAAATTAATGAAAGATAAAGTTATTAATTTAATTTAGTATATAAATTCGTATACAAAATTGAAAAAAAAAACACATGGCTACACAGTTTTTTTTTAATATGAATAGGAACTTAAATTTATTTACATGAATTTATATGATTTTAATTCTAAAAATGCAACTGATAGAAATTTTTATAAATTAAAATATGTAGAGATTCAGGAATTAACTTCATCGCTTCTTGTTGTTCAACAAATAGGAGTTGACTAAATAATTTTTATAAATAAAAATTTACTTGAAAATGCGTGAAATATATATATAAAAGTAAAAGTAATTTTCGTATTTGCAATTAGTTGTTGCAGTAATTGTTCATAATTAAAAACAGATATTTACAATGATAGACCAGTAAGTTGATTCAACCGTTGAATAGAAGATTGTTTGAAAAAATAATAAAATGATGATTGACAGAGTGACAAGAGTGAAATGTTATTGACAGAGTAGAGTCTCTTTGATGTTTATGAATTATGCATGAGAAAAGGTATCTATAATTCGAATTTTAATCCTGTGTAAAGCTGAACATTGTGGAGGGCAAGATGCAATATCTATTTGATGAGAATGGCAGGCGTTATCTTGATGCTTTTGCTGGAATAGTCACCATTTCTTGTGGACATTGCCATCCTGAAGTTCTGAATGCTATAATGGAGCAAAGTAAGCTCCTGCAGCATACAACAACCATATATCTACACCATGCAATAGCTGATTTTGCTGAGACCTTGGCATCCAAAATGCCTGGAAACCTTAAGGTCAACTTTATCTTCATACTTTGTGTTTCAGTTACTGTTTCCAGAGAGGGGAATGATAATGATCCTCTTACATTTGAATATTCACATGATCTAGTTCCATGAACATTAAAAAACCAAATACTATTGTCCCATAAAAAGTGAAAGAGAAAAAAGCAGGATGGGAACATTTCTGTTTAAGGCTTTCATTGGGTTGGGGCAGAGGAATGTTCATTTTTAAGTGCGCTAAGCTAGATTTCATTCTTCAATATGGAACTTGATTTTCAACTAAGCAATGAATTGCAGGTTGTTTATTTTGTAAATTCTGGTTCAGAGGCAAATGACTTGGCGATGCTGATGGCCCGTTTATACACTGGTAACATTGGTATGATATCTCTAAGGAATGCATATCATGGAGGGAGTTCCAGTACAATTGGACTCACTGCTATGAACACGTGGAAATACCCAATACCAGAGGTTTGTCCACACACAAAGACATGTACATATGTAACCCAAAAAACACACAAACATGTAGTATATCATTGTAGTTTGTAACCTACTCTCCAAGCTATTCTAGCAGTGACCATATCATTGTGAACGATGTATTAACTTTATTCTGAAAATGGGGGAATACCTGATTGGTTTTTTTACAAAATTTAACCTTTTAAGGGCGAAGTTCATCATGTCATGAATCCAGATCCATACCGTGGAATCTTTGGCTCAGATGCCAGTAGTTACGCCAGGGAATTGCAAGATCATATTGACTATGGCACTTCTGGAAAAGTTGCAGGATTTATAGCTGAAACAATTCAGGTATAGTCTATCATGTTTGATTTTTAAACAACACAGTAAAGCCTTATGAAAAATAAATTTAAAATTAAATTAAGCATAATTTTGTGCAAACATTTTTACATTAGCTTCTTCAAAAGCTAATTTCTAACTTACGAGTAAGAATGTAAGTTAATTTTACCTTACGAAAAATTTATTTTATTTCATGTTCTTGTCTTTCTTATCCTATAATATTGATGCAGAAAATTTCTCAAATAAGGTCTTAGTCTGATTTTGTGATGTACTTTTTGCTCATGTCATGGCTTCTTCTAGGGAGCTGGAGGAGCAGTTGAACTGGCACCGGGGTACCTAAAACTGGCGTATGACATTATACACAAAGCTGGTGGTGTCTGCATTGCTGATGAAGTGCAATGTGGGTTTGCGCGCACAGGAAGCCATTTTTGGGGATTTGAGTCGCAGGGTGTCATTCCTGACATAGTTACCATGGCCAAGGTCTAGGCCCTCTTCTCATCTTTCTAAGCTTTAATTAACTCCAGGATATGATTATTACATCTTAGCAATGCATTTGAATGGCAACTTAGTCTGTTGTATTGCCAGGTTCATTGTTTATATGTATACAGGAAAGCATGTAATATGAGAGCATGTTAACTCATTAAGATTAGGTTCAAGTATAACAATCTTAACCATTAAATTATGGTTGATTGATTAGGTTAACTCTTGATGTAGGTTCACTTTAGTTCTTTGAAATAGGGTGTTTGATTACTTAAGAAAACTTACGGAAAATTCCCACCGGACATTAAGATAGCAAACTATCTAGATGGAAAGGTACATTTCCAACGGCTCATGAGAGGAGTGAATGGAATTAATATTGATTAACAAAACAACACATGATCAAGGAGTAAAAATAGAAGAAAAGAATAACAAAATGTAAGATATAGAGGATGGTGACGGTGAGCAAACACGCCACTTTTTGGACAAGACTCATAGTAGACACATCAAGTCAAGAGATAAGTGGTGAAATCGCCACTTGCTTAGGAGCAAGATAAGGTCATGGAGTCTCCACCCTAGGGAGATGATGCTCACATAAATATGGTTGGACAAATGAGCATTTTGATTTCATACAACCCCTACAAAGGAGAAGAAACACTCCTTAAATAGATAGTCTTGGGGGCTTCTTAGCAAATAACAAAAGTTCTAAAAGGGTACATGTGCAAATCCTAAAAAGTATCTTTTACAAACCTAACATGAAAGCAAGGAAAAGACAAATGGGATGTTGGACTTCCCATGGTGATTCTTGGCTAAGACTAAGGAGGAGACCACATTTGTCTCATTCACAACCATAAAACACCTTTCTTTTTATGCTTTTACTTTATGCTTTATGCTTTCCACCTCATGCACATGTGGTCCAATCCCAGCTTGCCATGTGGAGCGTCCTAATCATCATCTTAATCCATGCTTAACCTACAAGACACACAAATAAAACTAGATTAGCAATGTTGACTTGGGTCAAGTCAACTCTAGTAAAAAGGTCAACCCAAGTCAAGGTCAACAAGTCAACTAAAATTAACTCTACTCAATTCAACTTAAGGAATTCAAATTAAGCTAATGGAAAATAAAGATATGGTAGAATTAGAAGACTCCCCCCTTGTCATGCCTTCATCATCCTCCCCTTCTTGGAGAGAATTCGACCACGAATTCTTATACCTTATATCAAAAGGAGAAAGATCACAAACATTAAATGAGTTACTTATGTTATATGTGGATGATAAGTCTAACTCATATGCATTGTTGTTGATCTTCCTAATGATGTGGAAGGGTCCATCTCCTGTTGGGGTAAATTTAGACTTTCTTTGAGTAGGGAACCTTTCCTTCCTCAAATGAAGCCAAACTCAATCCCCTTCTTTGAAGATGACTTCCTTCCTTCCCTTGTTAGCACTCTCTTGATGCTTGCTCACCCTTTTCTCAATTTCCTTTTGACTTGCTCATGTAACTCTCTAATCATGTTAACCTTAGTGGCTCCATCTTGGCAAGTCCATGCCTCATGGGTGGGGAGGGGAAGAAGATCCATGGGAGTGAGAGGATTGAATCCATACACAACCTAAAAGGGGGAGTGAGAGGTAGTAGAATGCACAACTCTATTGTATGCAAACTCTATGTGAGGGAGAAGTTCTTTCCACTCTCTAGTATTTTGGACTATCATGCACTTTAACATTTGACCCAAGGTTCTATTAACCACCTCGGTTTGTCCATCACTTTGGAGGTGACAAGTTGTTAAAAATAGGAGCTTTGTACCAAGCTTCCCCCAAAGTGTCCTCCAAAAATGACTCAAGAACTTTGTGTCCCTATCACTCACAATGGTCCTAGGTAGGCCATGTAGTCTCACAACTTCCTTAAAGAATAGATTTGCAATGTAAGTAGCATCATCAACCTTGTGGCATGGGATGAAATTGACCATTTTTGAAAATCTATCCACAACCACAAGGATGAAATCCCTACCCTTCTTTGTCCTTGGTAGCCTTAGCACAAAATTCATTGAAATATCCACCCAAGGTTTAGAAGGGATGGGCAAAGGGGTATAGAGATCATGAGGTTGGACCTTGGACTTTGCCTGCATGCATGCTATGCAACTTCTACAATGTTTGTCTACATGCTTTCTCATGTGGGGCCAATAGAAATGTTCTTTTAAGACTTTCAAAGTTTTGTTGGCCCCAAAATGTCCCATTAATTCTCCCTCATGTGACTCCCTAATGAATGAAGCTCTTAATGAACCCTTGGGTATACAAAGTCTTTTACCTTTGAAAAGGTATTGATTGAGGAGGTAGAAGTCTTTCCCCTAGGTGGCATTCACTAACAATTGGGTAGAAATCATCATCACTAGCATATAATTCCTTAATGTGATCAAAGCTAAAAAATTTGGTTTCCAAAAGGGTTAGGAGTGAATGGTGCCTTGAAAGGGCATCTGCCACCACATTAATCTTTTCTTGTTTATGTTTGATCACATATGGGAATTGTTCTATGTATTCAACCCACCTTGCATATCTCTTGTTCAACTTGCTTTGGATTTTCAAAGACTTTAGGGACTCATGATCACAATGAATCACAACTTCCTTTGAAAGAAGATAGTGTTGCCAAGTTTGCAAAGTTCTCACAAGAGCATAAAATTCTTTGTCATAGATGGAGTAATTGATGTGACTCCCTTTTAATTTCTCACTAAAATAGGCAATGGTGTGCCTTTCTTGAAGAAGCATGACCCCTATGCCTACATTGGATGCGTCACACTCTACTTTAAAGGTCTTGGAGAAGTTAGGGAGGGCTAAAAGAGGGGCATTGATCAATTTTTCCTTAAGAGTTTCAAAAGCTTTGTCTTGATCCTTGCCCCATTTGAAGTTCACACCTTTTTTAACCAATTCATTCAAAGGGAAGGCTATAGTACTAAAGTTTGGCACAAACCTTCTATAAAAACTAGTCAACCCATGAAAAGACCTCACTTCACTCACATTCTTTGGTCTTGGCCAATCCTTGATGGCCACCATTTTTTCTTGGTCCACATGGACCCCATGTTTATTTATTTTGAACCCTAGGAAGGTCACATGATCCATTCCAAAAATGCATTTTTCTATGTTAACATACAAGGACTCCTTCCTTAGGGTCTCTAGCACACTCCTCAAATGATATGCAGTTCCTCTTTGGTCATACTATAGATGAGAATATCTTCAAAGTAGACCACTACAAATTTTCCAATAAAGTCTCTAAGAACATGATGCATGAGTCTCATGAAGGTGCTAGGTGCATTGGTCAAGCCAAAAGGCATAACCAACCACTCATACAATCCAAACTTAGTCTTAAAAGAGGTTTTCCATTCATCACCTTCTTTGATCCTTATTTGATTATATCCACTCTTCAAGTCTATTTTGGAAAATATGGTGACACCATGCAATTCATCCAACAAGTCATCTAACCTAGGAATGTGATGCCTATACTTAATGGTGATGTTGTTGATAGCTCTAAAATCAATGCACATTTTCCATGAACCATCCTTTTTTGGGACAACATTGCACAAGAGCTCATGCTATGTTGTACCTAACCTTTTTCTAATAACTCTTCAACTTGTTTTTGAATTTCCTTAGCCTCCTCGGGACTTGTCCTATAGATTGGCCTATTTGGTAAAGAAGCACCTTGTACCAAATCAATTTGGTGCTTTATTCCCTTTAAGAGTGGAAGTCCCTTTCAGGGATCTTGAAAAACATTTTTAAAATCCTTTAAAACTTGGGCCAAATCTTGAGGACAAAAAGAGGTGGCTTCTTGGAAGGATGGGGAAGGGCTAGTGGGGTAAGCTAACAAAACTTGTTTTTGAGCAAGCATTACCTTTTTCACTCTCTTGTGGGAGAGTATCATGCTTTTCTTGGTCTCATATTTCTTTTGAGCCACTTTCTCCTTCTTTTTATTAATTATGTGAAGTTGATCCTCATTAACCTCTTGAGGGGACAAAGGTAAAAGTGTGATCTTTTTACTTTGGTATTTAAAAGAATATTTGTTGGTATGGTCATCATGAAAAGTTTTTTTATCAAATTGCCATGGCTTTCCAAGTTAAATATGTGTAACTTCCATAAGTACAACATCACACAATACCTCATCCTTGTATTTTCCTATTGAGAGGTTGATGAGGACTTGCTTGTCCACTTTAGTTTCTCCTTCTTTACTTAATCATGAGAGTTTATAGGGTTTGCATAGGGGGTGGGTTTCAAGTCAAGCTTGTCCACAACCCTCTTGCTAGTCACATTCACACAACTACCTCCATCAATGATCAGGGAGCAAAGTTTGTCATTGATTAGGCACCTTGAGTGGAAAATATTTTCTCTTTGAGAGTTTTCAAAATGTTTAGGTTTTTGGCCTAGCATGCGCCTTATCAGTAATAAACCTTCTCCTTCATGAGGTTTGATTTCATCTTCACTTGAAGAAGAAGAACTAGAAGAACTCTTGGGGGATGGGGAGAAGAATGCTTACTTTCTACTTCTCCTTTTGAGTTCAAGACCATAGTTCTTTTTGTTGGACAATTGGAGGCTATGTGACCATAACCTAATCATTTAAAACATTTGATGAAACTTGTTCTTGAACCTTGAGAAGAGTTAGGAAGGTCTTTGGGAGCCTTAATCGAATTCACCTAGGAGTTTTTTTAGAGGTTTTGGAAGGTGGTTTTTCAAACTTTCTTTCTTTCCCTTTCTAGCTATTAGAGTAGTAGTCATTGTAAGTTGCATTTCTCTTGGCCTCATTTTTCTTTTTTAATTGGTTTTCAACTTTTAAGGTCAAGTGTAAAACTTTGTGAAATTGGAAGTGCTCATACAACTCTACCACATCTTGAATTTCCCTTCTCAAGCCACTCACAAATCTAGCTACCTTTTCTTCCTCAATTTCATTTTGGAGTCCCACTTTAAGGAGCAAGGACTCCATCATCTTTGCATACTCACTCACACTCATGGTTCCTTGTTGAAGCCTTTGGAGCTTCAAAAGGGTGTCCCTCCTATAGTAGGAGGGAACAAATTGTTCGCACATTAAAATTTTCAAGTCTATCCAAGAAGCCGCGGGTGGCTCTTGCTTTATAATGTCCATACATTTGTTATGTCACCAGTCATGGAATAATCCTCAAATTCTAAGACTACGAATTCTACTTGCTCTTGTTCCCTAATTACATGAATGGTAAAAATTTGGTCCACTTTTTGCTCCCACTCCAAGTAGATATTGGGATCTTCTTCTCCTTTGAACTTTGGAATCTTGATTGATGGTGGTTGTCTCCTTGGAGGGGAATGACGCCTCCTCCTTCCTCCATAATCCTCATAAGTGTCTCTTAAAGATGACCTCCTCCTCCTCCTATCTTCCTCCCTTAGTTCAAGCCTTTGGATGTATTCTCTAAGCATCATCTCACTTTGTCTTTTATCTTCTCTTAGTTGTGCAATGGTCTCCCGTCTACTCTCTTCTAGTTGTTGCACAAGTTGAATCAAACTAAGGTCTCCTTGTTGTGTAAGAGGAGTGGTGGTGGGAGGTAAATAGGCTTCATGTGACTCTTCTTCCTCTATTTCTTCCAAGATAGGAGACAAATTTTCACCACCTAGGTCCATATTACTCAAACCGAAAACAAACACAAGAGTTAGCACAAGTATGAGTTAAAAACCGAGGCAATCCCCACCCCACAATGCAATTTCCCAAGTGTTTGGACGCACACTCCCAACAACACAAGGCTAGACTATCACTCTCACTTCTCAAAGGGTGGAAATCACTCCAAAATTTCCAAAACCTTTTTTCACCAAGCAACTTAGGTCACGGTTTTCACCAACTAGGAGGCCAAAGAAAAGAAAACTAGCAAGAACAAAACAAGGACCCTAAGACAAGCAAGAAAAACACAAAAACAAGAAAGCAAAACTCTAAGAGGGAAATTTTTTTGAGACAACTTTAGCAAGACTAACACAAGAAAAGAACTTTAAAAGACTCTATGGAAAAATATTTGAACAACTTAAATCATGCACATGCCAAGGAAGGCAAGAACCATATAATTTTTATGGAACTAATTTGTCAATATCACCACATTCAAGTTTTCAATTTGAGAGCATAACACCTTAGAAAAAAAATGCAATTTTACTTCCCCAAGCTCCAAGTTTGGTCTCGGTTTTTAGCTAGAATTTTGGGGAATTTTTTTTTTCTATTTTGCAAACAAGTTTTCCAAGGTGATAGAAAAGGGTTTCAAGGTGTCTTGAACACTTAGTTCCTTGAGTTTTGGTCATAAATCAATTCCAAAGCACATACACTCAATAAGTCATGTAAACATGCAAGATTCAAATATTTTAGAACAACAAAAGCAAGAAAACCACTAGTTAACATATGACTCAAAATCAAAGATAAACACATTTAAAGACTATTTCAACATGAGAGACAAAATTTTAACATGGTAACACTACAAGTAGCTCTCAGTTTTCCAAGAAAAAAACAACAACAAAAATTATGTTCACAACTTCACAAGATCACCAATATATGGAGATGTAGTTCTAGATACTTAAACCTTGAAGTGAAGTAGAAAAATGTGCTACACCAAGTTTGAACAAACCAAGGCTGAGAGTCCACTAAGAGTAACAACACAAGACAAAAATAGTTATCACAAGAAAAACACCATTTTCAAGATAACCATGGCTCTAGATACCAACTGATGTAGGTTCACTTTAGTTATTTGAAATAGGGTGTTGGATCACTTAAGAAAACCTAGGAAAAATTCCCACTGGACATTAAGATAGCAAGCTATCTAGATGTGAAGGTGCATTTCCAATGGTTCAAGAGAGGAGTGAATGAAATTAATATTGATTAGCAAAACAACACATGAACAAGGAGTAAAAATAGAAGAAAAGAACAATAAAAATGTAAGATATAGAGGATGGTGATGGTGAGGAAACACGCCACTCTTTGAACAAGGGCCATAGTAGGCACACCAAGTCAAGAGATAAGTGGTGAATCGCCACTTTCTTAGGAGTAAGATAAGGTTATGGAGTCTCCACCCTAGGGAAAAGATGCTCACGGAAATATGATTGGACAAAGGAGTATTTTAATTTCAATTTTTCAAGCCCTACAAAGGAGAAGAAGCACTCCTTAAATAGATAGTCTTGGGGACTTCTTAGCAAATAACAAAAGTTCTAAAATGGTACATTTGCAAATCCTAAAAAGTATCTTCTACAAACCTAACATGAAAGCAAAGAAAAGACAAATGGAATGTTGGACTTCCTATGGTGATTCTTGGCTAAGACTAAGGAGGAGACCACATTTGTCTCATTCACCACCATAAAACACCTTTCTCTTTATGCTTTATGCTTTACGCTTTATGTTTTCCACCTCATACACATGTGGTCCAATCCTAGCTTGCCATGTGGAGAGTCCTAATCATCCTCTTAATCTAGGCTTAACCTACAAGACACACAAATGAAACTAGATTAGCAATATTGACTTGGGTCAAATCAACTCTAGTAAAAAAGTCGACCCAAGTCAAGGTCAACAAGTCAACTAAAATTAACTCTACTCAATTCAACTTAGAAAATTCAAATTAAGCTAATGGAAAATAAAGATAGGGTAGAACTAGAAGACTCCCCCTTGTCATACCTTCGCTCTGAGGGTATAATTCTCAAGCTGAACTTCATGTTTTTTTCTTTTTCTTTTGTGTTTTCAGCTTAATTTTCTGGTCCTTCAAGTAGACTTTGTATTTTGTTTTAGCAATACCTTTGGATAGCACCAATTTTGTTGAAGTGCCTCTCTCATGTAGCTTTTATAGAATTACATTGTATGATTTGTACCTCACTTTTTATGTGCATCAGGGTATTGGCAATGGTTTGCCATTAGGAGCTGTAGTTACAACTCCAGAAATAGCAAGTGTGATGGCCCAGAAGCTTCAATTTAATACTTTTGGAGGGAACCCTGTATGTTCTGCTGGCGGACTTGCTGTGCTCAGAGTTCTTGATAAGGAGAAGCGTCAATCTCATTGTGCTGAAGTTGGTTCTCACTTGATTCAGCGTTTGAGATCTCTGATGCATGTGCATGACAGTATGTTATCTTCATTCTGACATCCTTCAAATATTCATTTCTTTTTGTCTTATGATACAATTTTCTTGTTTGATAAATGTTTCCTTCTCTGAGCTATCTATATGCATGCTTCGTTATATACAGAATTTAGGTTGGGGGGGACTAGGTGTCCACTTTTATTTTTGTTTACATAGCCTATTTTTATTTTCTATTTTATCTTTTAAATACAAATTTGGCACTTTGTTTTTAAAAGATTCGCACACACTATATACATATATATTTGTTTTCTTTGTTTCCGATGCAGATCTTTTAGAACATGACACAAATTGAAAACAAGGTGACGGTTTTGAAATTAAGAAGTGAAAACAAAATGAATGCAAAAGTAAATTTTCTTGGATCAGGGAATGTTGGAGTTTTGTCATGCATTCTACACGTGATTATGTCTCATGTTAGACGAATTTTTCTTCACTATTTTCATAGTTATTATATATTGTGACAGTCATTGGAGATGTAAGAGGAAGAGGCTTAATGGTGGGGATTGAGTTTGTCACCGATAGAAAAGAGAAGACACCTGCAAAGGCTGAAACAACAACTATGCATGAAAGATTCAGAGGTAAGAAATTTGATTGACTAAAAAGAATAGCGAAACTTTCTTTTCCAAAATTTATTCTAAACATAATAACCGTTAACTCCCATAAATTGAAGAGATCGGTATTCTAGTGGGGAAAGGAGGAATGCATGGAAATGTTTTTAGGATTAAGCCACCATTGTGTTTCACCAAAAATGATGCAGGTACATAAATATTTCTTTCCCCGCTATTTAACGAAATTGTAGAGTCCAGATTCTTTATTCAAGTCCACTGACTGACCTCCTCATGTGCAGATTTTGTTGTGGATGCTTTGGACTATGCCATATCTAAGTTATGAGATTCTGCCTGGAATCAAAATGTTATATATCATGCTAGTTGCTATAAGGAAACAATTCCTGCTAGCTGAACCTGTCTATGTGTCCGTTGCTGTTGTGTATTTCAGACTACCAATAACACTGCAATGCTATCCTACTGCAAAGTGAAAATTCCTTTAAACAAATTGACATTATAAATTGAATGTGAATAAGTGGATTGGTGAGTATGATTGGTTTCCTACTATTTGTGTATATATAAAATAAAATATAAAGGTTTCAGCAAATTAATATTTTCTCAATCAGCATTTGGACAGAAACTCAAGCATCTATCCAAGAACGAATGAAATTTCTGATAGTTATTTAGCACTGTCAATATCAGAATTTTTTAGGAAAAAGACAAATAATACTAAAATATTGGGCCATAAACCATAAAATTTGAGTAGAGAAAAGGTGTATCATAGAAAATCATTCTGTACTTCATTGAACAAAGATACAACAAGGCTGTATAAGCTTTCTACCAAAACCAATCACAACTAACTTATATTTCTAAGAAACTACTCTCAACCATCACAAAATAAATTATGTCCACTTAGAGAGTCTAAAAGTCGATTAGTTTCAAAAACACACAGCATAACAGTATATGATTTTTACATGACCAACTTCCACGCAGGCTAATGGCATATTGTAAATATTTCATTTTGCAACAATCCAATATACACCATGCGTCCAAAATTAATTTATTTACAAACTCATGCATAAAATGAGCGAGCAGCTGTATTTACAACTTCTCCATAACGCAAAACTGCAGGAAAAATGTGAGCAACCTGGACCCTCACATGATGCATGGTTTTGATGTTCTTGGCCAAAGAAACTGACCCATATTCATCATCACATCACGTTCATGTTACAAGTTTGCGCTCTTGTAAACTTGTGGTGAGACTAAGCAGGTTCACGGGGTCTATTAGACCACAGTGAGCTCAAAGCCCTCAGGCGTTGGAAATATTCCCCCAAAGCAAGCAAGCATCGAGCCGCCTGACGGATTGTAAGTGTTCGAGACATCTGCTGCAAGGTTTCTTGCCGAAGATGGTCAGCCTGATTCACATAGATCATGGTTAAATCTCTAATAGCCATTTGCTATGACAAAACTTTTTGAAATGGTAAACTGGTAATGTATATAGCAGTTAATGATCTTCAAAGATGCTTATGTTATTGTACAAGGAAAAAATTGTTTTTAACCTTTGAATTGCTTGACTAAATTGCTGTTTTCCGTTTCTACTATCCTTTAAAATGAAAAGTATTTCTGTTTCACTATCCTTGCTAAGAATTTGGGAATGAAAATTATTTTATGAAATATTTTTTTCATCCAAAAAGTATCAAATTATGGGTTTTACAGGTTTAAAAAGTAAATTCAAAATGAATTTCTCCATATAATGATGCATAAGAACTTCTTACGATATAAATTATTTGTTGATTTTACATGATTAATAGCTTTAAATCATGATCTTTAAAGCAGTGTACAGTTCTTCTGTTTTGAATCTCTAGTATGTAGAGTCTAGAGAGACACTATTATATACGAATGAAAAATGAAAAACAAGGCAGAAATAAGAAAATGGCCAACTTATGCAATCCAAGTGCTTCAACCAAACCTTCAAGACAGTAGATTCACCAAAACAAACAGAAAGAGGAAAATGGAAAGTACACTGTACATACTCTTCCAAAATATTCTCACTAGAATCTACCTATCATTATTCCCTTCTACAGTTCTTCCACAAGAAGACAGACGCTAATAAGCACATGTGGTTTAGAAAGTATATTCACCAGAAACAGACATACATTTGCTTTTTTCTTTCATAGACAATTGGATAAAAATAGCAACTGGCAGATGGCATACTTCGATTAACATGGCATGTTTTGAAAAGGAAAAAAATATCTAAATTGAAAACAGATGTCTGAGGAAACATTACCTGGTTCACAAAGCTCACCAGAACTTCCAAGTTCTCCATTGCAGAGGTCATCTGTGGAATGTAAGTTCCTTCCATTAACTGTCCAGCTGCTACACTATCAGCAAGTGTTTGCCGGAGTTTGTCCATACCTTGTGATAGGGCATCTTCTGCTTGCTGACATGATTGTCCAAGGTTATAGATATCCAACCGCTGTTGGTCTGTGAGGGGTTCAATGAGGGGCCCAAGAACCTGTAGTTAAAATAAAGTGTTAGCATGAATCATACTAAAAGCATACATCATGCCGTAGTTGAATATGGCAATAGAAATAATGTAAAATCATCAAATTTCTCAGTAACCCCCTTTTAGTAAATTTGACATCCAAGTGCGGAAATTTAAATTTTTACCATGTTCTTTGGGATTCACTTAGACCAACACATAATAGGAATACCATTTTAAACTTTTTGCATTTGTTAAATATGAATCATCACCTTTAGAAGCTCAGAGGGGCGAAAGCCTCCGATCCACAAGAAAAATCTTTCAGCTGTTGTTTTCCACATACCAGACATGACATAGAAAACATCTGCTTTGGCAGCAGCAGATTTCATACGAAAGATTTCAGCATAGTGGTTCATCATAACATCTACCAGAATCCTGAGCTCTATGTCACCAATATGAGCATTTAAAGCAGTTCTCAGTTCTGTGATTTGCCTATTTTGCTCGTTCACCCAGTGTCCATACTCCATCTCGAAGGTTGTAATTCCTGCAAATATGGTATTCTTTGAATGCAAGAACAAAGTGCAAAACAGATTGTAACACAAGAAAGGAGGATACTCATAGAAAACCAGGAACAACATTACACCAACCAAAACAAACTATGGTCAGTGTCCATGGCAACAAGAAAATTTCTGAACAATAAAGGGTTGCAATGTCAATAAGGTTACCAAAATTTGTTCCTGGGGTTTATGAAGGTCACTTTAAATGAGTTGACGGTATATAAACTTTTCTCGACTTACCAACAATTTAATGTTATGGTCTTATACAACATCCATCAATGAAAGCAGACAAACAAAAAAAAAGCTATGACAATTTTAATGTATGAGACTAGATAATCTAGTATGGAAACATATATCATGTCAGATACATATAAATAACTCTCCAACTGGTATAAACCACGACTTTAAACTTTCTGCTAATTTCTGGATATTTGGAAAAAAAGAATGAACTAATGTTACAAAATTGGTTATAACATAAAAGCAAAAGATGCTTGCGGGACCAAGAGAAAATGTATCTGCATATTTTGAGATGGTAGACACTAAAACAAGATTTTATAGTCTTTAGAACTTAGTAAGAGATTTAAGCACATTGGGAGAAACTGATTTAACCAAAGAAGAAAATATAAAAAAAAATGATAACATTAAATTACCAATACATGGAATAACAAGTAACAGAAAAACCCAGATAGCATAATAACAAACCAACCTGAATTTACCGATCCAGCAAAACCCAGATGATTAGAGTCCAATCCACCACCTATATACATCCCCTGCAGTTTTGTTGCCTCAAGATGTTAAAGAGAAGGGGAAAGGAAGAAAGTTGCTGATCAACATAATTTGATCCACAAGAGAAACTACAAGAATATTAACTCATCTTCCCCACACCTGCTGTCTAGCACGTTCAAGCTCTTGCTCCAACTGCATCAACTTCAAACGACTTGATTCTAACTGCTGCACATAGGCCTGTGAGGCAATGTCAGAAACCACATGAAAACATTAGTATATCTAAACAATAATTGCGCATCTGACAGTCCACCAATGTACAAACATGCAAACCTTTTTCCTCAAACGGCTCTTACGAGCAGCCTCTCGATTTTGTGCAAGACGTCTTTGTATCTGCATGTTTGATTATATTAGATTTTTATTTGTTTCCACCATATGTGGGCATAAAAGAGAGTATGAATCCAAGCCAGGCATCCAAATTGAATACAGATTCCTCAAAGTTCAAAATGGCTGGACTAGCACACTTTTCACTTCCACCCTAATTGTATACATAAAGCAAAATAATAATAATAAAAGACTGAAAAGGCGGTGATTTGCTGTGCCAAAACATTCCCAATAAATATGCCCGTTATTCTAAAAGGTTTGAATACTTCATTACATTATACAACTACACCCTACAGAATAAGCCTTGAAGCTTCAAAGTGACAACATATCCAAAATGCAAAACATTTAATCCTAGACAAATGGTCCAATGAAAGAAATTTGAATTATATTGCTCAAAATTACCTACATCTACATTTACAGGCAATTTGAGTTAACAATTCGGTTGCAGGGAGTATTCCAGAGTTCCCAAGTAGATACGGTTTAAAGTAACAAAATACCACTAAGAAATAACTCTTCTTTCTTTCCTTTAGTTTGGAGGAAAGATGGGGCAAAATGAGCCAACGTGTTTGCATATCATGCTCTTACCTTATCAGTAGGTTTGTTAGCTTCTTGGTCATACTTATTAGGTGCTCCCAATATACCATGAGAAGCATCCTCTGACTAGATATTAAACAGCACAAACAAATTTGGTAAGTTGGCAGAATGGGCCTACGTATTTGCCAATGAAACAAAGCACAGATTTCGTTGACTCGCACCTGACTGTCTAACTTCATGTCTGCCTCATCAATTAAAGGCATGGATGCACTTAAATTACCATTACTTTTGAAGCCTTCTCCCCACATACTAATCTGGTGGATTGGATCGAACACGCTCATCCTTCTCGAGGAAACGAACTGTGGGGATGCTGAATTCATGCTCTTAGTACTGATCAGTGCCACAACTCAAACATAAGCATTCAACACATACCTACACAGGAAACTGCTGTCAAGCAAAAAAAAAAATGCATTAAAGATTATGAACCAAACACATTCACTTCAAAGATGAATAGCAGAAACAATAGCAAGGAAAAAAAGAAGGCAAAATAAGTTGAAAATAATACAAACGGGTAGCAGAGTCGCCACTGTTTCAACCAGAACAAGTACTACAGAGTGACGAAGAGTAAAATCCATTGACTAAAAAGGTAAAAATCCACGGCAAACAAACATGACAAAAAATCTCAAGAAAAACCAGACATCACAAGGTAAAGGATAGCACAAAAAGCGGCATAATTCATTTAATTAAACCGTGTTTTAATTTCTTCCCACCTCATCAACGTTTGTACGACAACCGCCACAGACAACGCCTATGCAACAGAATCGAAAGTACGATTTTCCCATTAATAAGATAACAAACCACCTCATCATTTTTTGCAAACTTAGGAACCCAAAACCAAATCCTACATAGCCCCCCTTTTCCCCTTTTTCCTTTTCCCAAAGCCAACAAAAGTTTTTTATCAACCGCCAGAAGAAAGAAAGTACCAGTAATCATAGCATAGTAGTTCAAAACAAAGATAAATAAAGTCATCAATCTCTCCAAGTATCTCTACCAATTGATGTCATGATAATATTGAGTTGGCAAAGTACAACAAACAAACTTTGATCTGTACCAATTCCCATCCTCGACAGTTACACAATTATCCACAAAAACTGAAAAAACAAAAACCAAAAAGCCAAACCTTATTATAAAGCCACTTTGAGAAACGTTATTTACGTTGTCTTATTATTATTTTCCCGCTCAAATCTTCACGCCAACATGGCGTGGTGAAGAACCGCAGAACGCAAGACCCTTCCTATCATTCCATCATTGCGTTGTTAGTTCAGAAGACGACCCTTTCTGAGACACCCTCTCTTCCTTCAATTTTTATTATATAATAAAAAACATATATATGCGATCGTAGCCCACCATTTTTAAATGGGGTTACATTATTTATGTGATTCAAATATAAATAAAAATGTAGAGAAGACTTTTGTGTCTTGTTATTGGAGAGTGGAACTTGTTTTTTCTTTTTTTTGTTACCAATTGTTTGGTTGTGTTGATCTACAGAGAGTCAAATATATTTCACAAGCCAAGTGTCACAGTCATCGTCATGTTTCCACTACACGCTAATGTGCGCACCAGGTAGACCACAACCCTGTTCCTGTTCCCTCCTCCACTGTTCCACCTCCACCGGTGTACATCAACACCTATCTCTCCATCTACATTATATTACAATAATATTAATAATTAATGTAACATCATAGTTGCTATTTTTTATTCAATTGTTTGTGGTAAATAACCTATAGTCCTTACTTGTATAAGCTATTATCGGTGTCACCATCCACAAATTACTCACCCTTTGTCAAATGATAACTTAAGTAGAATGCGGGCACCAACAACTTTGAAAGTCAAGAAATTATGAGTTTTGTATGATTAATCGAGGGTACTGTGGAGTGTTTAGAGTAGAAGAGGACGTCACACCTTCACACGAGATTCGACAAAACCTAATCATTTCAATATTTTCTTTTCATGTCTACATTATACACACAGCCTAACATTTGGCTGTTGTTATTATTAGGGTAGATCATTGTTAATTATTATTTAAATGAAACAGTTGCGTAGAGGATTGTCTTCCTGTTAGATTGATGTTGTTAGGGTAGGGAATTGGAATAATGGTGATTACTTGTATTGCCCTACTAGCCTTCTGATTCGATGCATCCTACTCTACTTTTTTAACCATTGACCTCACTTCCACCATAAATATACCAAAAGCATTTGTGCCTAATAAATCAAAGCATCAAATGCAACTAACCAAGTATCTTACCACATTAATTAAAGGCTCTGCACCCTTTAATTATCTTTTAAATGGATTTTAGTATCTTAAAAGAGAAATCTCTGATTTCAGATCAATAAATGTTCTTTATTAAATAATGTTTATATTATCTTAACATATTTTTCACTCTACAAAATTAATTATATTTGTAAATGTACAAGAGGTATAAATCAACTTACATGTCAAATTTATTTAATTTAATTACGTGACTACATTACCTCTTTTTTTCAAAGCTACTTTAAATATTTAGAATAAGAATTTGTTCACTTGGGAGTCTCATTCCTAATAATCTTAATATTGGTAAAAAAAATTTATAGCAAATGCCATTATTAAATTCTTATATTAACTGTTCGTATTAATTGGGAATATTGATATTTGGGTGAGTATCCATTCGAATATCCGCATTTAAGATTTTTTTTTATCTAACTTAATATCTATGCGTAAAGCAGGGTTTAAAATCATGATTCAGCCTTCAAAAACAAATCCGTACTTATGTTATACTCATTGGGCACGTGTCCAAACCTACTACTAGTATTTTATTCATGAAATCCATTTTCCTATCATGTGCCTATTTTTAAAATAATTTCACAATTTTTTTGTAAAATGGAAAAAGTAAAATGATTTTAATTTCAAAAATAGTTTGAAATATCGTTATTGCAATTAAATTATAATTATGAAATATAATAAATATTTATTACATATACGTATATGTGCTAGTATATAGATGTTGGATGAGAGCTATACTAAAGTGCCTGTACATTCATTAAATCAAATGCTGAAATATGAGTGAGATAGTTTATTTAAAAAATAATAATAATAAAATCTTTTTCTATTAATATACGAGTTTACATTTTTTTTTACTCACCGGTGAGTCAATATATGAATTTAATGGAGTCATCAATTTATTAGGATAATATATAATTAAACTTAATTTATTTATTTATAATTTTAAAAAAAATGTGGAAGTCCAATAATAATAATAATAATAATTATTATTATGCTATGATAATTTTATAATAATATTATAATGATTATTTTAGTAGGTTGAATAAAATAATAAATTTTAGTTATTATTTAAGATACTCTATTTTAGATTGTATTTCTTGATGGTATAATTATTTTTTTACATTAAATATAATTCTTATTTTTAGTGTACATCTTTTTCTTAATATTTTTTTTATAATTGTTTTGACATTTTTTTCGTTAACAGTGATATCAAAAGCCTCAAGATTTAGGAAAAAGAAAAAGGAAAGAATATCAAATGACAATGATAGGAACTGAGTTGCATGTATGTCAGTTTTAATAGTAAAAATTTGCATAGTTATGATAAATGGTGTATGAAGATGAAAGTTATCTTTGGTTCTAAGAAGTTTTGGATATAGTCTTAAATATATATGATAAGTTACTGGAGAATCTCACCGAGACACAACATGCTATGTTTCGTGATGTAAAGAAACATGTTTGTAAAGTTTTGTTTTACATTCATCAATGTGTTGATGAAAATAATTTTAAGAAGATCTAATTGACAAACATAACAAAAGAAGTCTGAGACATACTAGTGCAGAGTTATGCAGGAGTAGAAAGATTGAAAATGATGTGACTTTAAATCTTGTGTCGTCAATATGAGTTGTTGTAGATGAGAACGCAAGAAACCATCCAAGAATATTTTTTAATATTGTTGTCAATTACAAACTCGGTGAAGTTATATGGTGAAAGCTTGGAGGAACAAATGGTGGTAGAGGAGGTGTTGAGGACCCTTGATGCAAGATTCAATATAATTTTAGTTGTTATCAAAAGTTAAAAGATCTCAATTTGTTGAAGATTGGATGAATTACAGGGGTCATTGGAGGCTCATAAACAACGGTTACATGAGAAAGCAGAAGAGAAGTTTAACGCAAAACAGACGTTGTTGATAAAACAAAAGAATGAAGGCAATAGAGAAAAACCGAACAAGAGAGGTCGAGGAAGAGGAAGAGGTAGAAATAATGGTGGATAAGACTCAAAAGGGAAACATGAGAACTCTTCACAATCGAGAGGTGGTAGAGGCAGAAACTCAAAATAAAGAGGTGGTCGATCTAACAAAGAACTTATGTTTTACAACAATATTCTTTGATGTCAATTTGTTGTGGCATTTAAGATATGGTCATCTTGGTTTCGATAATTTGACCCAACTTCGAGAGAAGGAGATGGTGATTGGATTGCCTTGAGTCCAAAAAAGTAAAGACATATGTGAAGATTGTATGTCATAAAAACAAACCAGAAATCCTTTTAAAGTGCACAAAAGCAATGATGTGATAGAGATTATCTACATCAATGTGTGTGGACTTTTCAATGTTTCTTCACTAGGTGGTAATAAGTACATTATGACGTTCATCGATGGTTATAGTAAGAAGATGTGGATATACTTACTCGAGAAGAAGTCGAAGGTGCTAAACCACTTTCTCAGTCTTAAATCGATTATTGAGAAACAGTGTGGTCGAGCTATTAAAGTGTTAAGATCGAATGCTAGGGAGAGTACAACAATGGTGAGTTTGCATCATTTTGCAAGAAGAACGGTGTTTTGCATGAGATTGTACACGTACACACCATAACACAATGGTTAGAAGTATCTTGAAGACCAAAGGCTTCCACATTTGTTTTTGGGTGAAACAGTATCGATAGTTGTGTACATCTTGAATTAATGTCCAACAAAGAGAATAAAAGAGAAAACTCCAGAATATAGTATGGTCTGGGAGAAAGATAAATATAAAACATTTAAAAGTATTTAGCTCAATTTCTTGGAGACATGTTCTAGATGAAAGGATGAAAAAACTCGATGATAGAAGTAAGAAGTTGATTTTGGTAGGATATCATGCAACTGGTGCATATAAGTTGCATGATCTTATTAAAAAAAAAATCATCATCAGTAGAGATGTTGTTATGGATGAGAAAGATTGTTGAAAATGGTGTTTGACGAATAAGGTAATACAGAAATCAAAGACAAAGAATGATCAATTTCTAGCATTGAACGAGGAGAAAATCGATCGATTCTCAAAATCGAAGGAGGAAGAAGAAATCGACTGATTT